TACCCCAAACCTCTGATTCTAAATCACACCACTGGGATATATTGCTATGCGACCATGCAAGAAGGATTTCAATTAAATATTCATTATCTCTCTTGCTCTTTTCAACCTTGGTGGTGTCCTGCCTCGTGGGCCTTGGCACTTCACCTAGGTTTCTCAACAAGCAGGCAAGTGAGTTATGATTATCATCAAAAAAACACTGAAAAATTTGATATTTGATCAAATACTGTTGAGATGTGACATTATATTGAATAATCATGAAATGTATTGTAAATATGTTACAAATGATTGGCTTCACAATGCTTGTAGAATAGACCATCAGGTTAGTTTCTCAATTGTATGAGATCATTGTTAAGGCGGCTATCAATATAGATAGGGATATATGCTTAAAGTAGACATGGTAGTACAGGGTTAAAAAGTATCTAACATAGTGGAGATTACATGCAGAGATAAGCAGACATGATATGTGACTACAGTAACAGAGGAGTCAAGAAATAATGAGTAAAGGTCATCATTTAGCTGAGAAGAGAGTTAAGGAAACATCAAACCAAAACAGGAACCATTGATAAGGGGATGTCAGGAGAGGCTTAAGTAGTTTGGGTATGAATAAACAAGGGTAAAAGGTTACGTCTGCACGAAAACATACATATAACCTTTGTAGTTGTGAGTTGGAAAACCTAGATTGCAAATAAAAAAAGGACTGTTTCAGTGAAGAAAGTGTTCTGTTGGGACCAAAGGAATAGGACAGAGTCTCATTTATAATAATCCTTGCTTTTGATATAGCGCCTTCTCATGTCATTGAGACATCTCAAAGTGCTTCACAGAATATATTGTAAAGTGGCGTGATTGTGCATTTTGTGGGTGAAACATTTAATAAACACAGCTGCACTTTGCAATGTGATGGATATTTAGGAAGGGTGGGATGGAGTGAAATGCCTTTTTCATCCAATTCTCTCTTGTAAAATTGAAGAAAACTGGAATCAGTGACTCAAAATTCCAAAGAGCTGATAAGTTGCAAAACTGGGAAGAACGCAGCTACACTTTTTGTTTGCTTCAAGATTTTATTCCAATTATTTTTCAAATCCATCGAACGCTAGTCTTTGTGCATTTTTAAAAATACATTCTGTGCAAGTTTCACCTCAAATTGCAGCCTTGATCCAGGAGATGAATTTCACCTTATTCCTGAATCTCACAAGGTTATGAGATTCTTTCGCAAGGAGAAGTTACTGAAAATGAAACATCTGTCCTGTGCTGTGTGTTGTGCTGGTAATGGGAGTGTGAAGTAAAACCTCAGACGGTAACTATTTAAAAAGAAAACAGCTGGGTAATGTAGGTGGTACCATTGAAGAGGCTTCTGATACGCACAGTATAGATACCATTTATTTGCAACTTAATTGAAGATATCTAGAGTTGAATCACTCAAGTTGGCTACTCATTTTATTTGTTCTTTGGTGCAAATTAGCACTTGCTTTTGCAACAATAACAACTTGTGTTTATGTAGTGCCCTTCACACAAGATAGCGTCTCAAAGCGCTGCACAATGGGCAATGCCCACGTACTATTCACTAAGTTGTTATTTTGTGAACAGCTTCACTTCAAGACATTCTTCTAAGCACTCTGAAACATTGCCCCACGAGAAAGGGGCTATATAAATAGAGGTTGATGTTCTTTCATGTGAATGCCAGTCGTTGATTCCAGTGTTTAGTGATTCTGGGGGTTTAGAACATAAACTCCCAGTTTATCTGGTGTAAAGTATGTCCATTCAGGCCACCAGACATCCCAGGTTTAGAGTCAAGCCTCTCTCTTGTCAGCGATGCTTCTCAGTTGGCTATCTCTGCTTGCTCACATCAAAAAATACAATGGTACAGATTTTTTTACCCAAGACATTATTTTAGTTAAAACAAACTATCGTACCACACCAGCAGATAAATTAAACTATCAATACAATTAGGCCAGAGGAGTAGCAACCACCTGCTTTCCTCCTCTACTAAAAAGTTATGAACACAATACAGTGGGCGGGAAAGTGAGCGAAACAGCCTTTTCGTATCTGATAGGGCAGTGAGATCTTAATTGACCACCCTGAACAGGCAGATGGGACGTCAGTTTAATGTCTCATCTGAATGACATAACCTCGAGCAATTCAGTGAACCGCAAGCAAATGCACTGGAGTGTCAGCCTAGACAAGGCAAGTTCAAAGTCCCAATACGGGGCTTGAACCCACAGCCATCTGACTCAGAGGTGAGAGCGCTACCAAGTTGACATCTTATATGCCTCATAGCCAGACCCCTCCGTTCCAGTTCTGAATAGGTGCCGTGCCCAAATCATTAACCTGCTACGTGTTTCTTGTGTTTGCATTGCACAGATAACTGAAAACAAACTGGATATTGCATTTCCTGAGATGGATCGCTGGAACTGCGGTAGAATCCTTCTCCAACCATTATGGTCCTGAGAAAACTTATTCACGTTCATTCCCAGTTCAGTGATAAATGGACCTAAAATTGGATTTGATTTCATGCCAAATTTTAAACTCAGTTTCACTGAGTGCAAGAGTTTTGTTATGTACTGCAGCTCACGACATTACAATTCGATCCATTTCAAGCACTTTTCTACAGATTACATGGAGGGAGCAATCCTCCGCTGGCACCCTTAACTTCAAGTCAATGTATTGACTGGTAAAACCTAGACAGTTTAAGAAAATAACATGATTATTTGAAGGACATCAGGGCTGCTTGTACAACTTAGACTCGGCCATGAGTTAGCTTGCATTGATCGACATCCAAAAACTGGTCACTGTGTGACCTGAAATGTTGTTGGTTGCAATGAGCAGAGTTTGATGGTTGATATCTCCCTGGATTTGCTTGCTCTTGTGTTTAGACTGCCACCCCTCTCTCAACAAGTGCTGTCATTATGCTCTGAGGACGCTTAAACTGGTCTGCAGTATTCCAGGGCACTGCTGATGACAGCACAGCCAGCCTGGCTCATCAGCAGGACCTAGAAGGGCAGACCAGGCACTGGGGGCAGGGAGTCATCCCACTCAGCTCCTATTAACCCTGCAAGCCAAAGCCCTAATGGGTAAGGTGGTCCTAGCTAGACAAACAGAGGGAAAGCTTCCCACATAACTATATCAATGGTAAGCTATGCGGTTTCAGCTGGTTAGATTCCATCTATACCCCCAATGCACACTCTCGGGTCCTTATGCCTTAGCTCTTGCCAACCTGAGCCTACTACTTTTCGGAATTAGGTAAGCAGGATGTGTCCCTTCAGGGAGAAAGTGGGCATTCCATTCCACTAATCTATCTCTGGAAATTCCATGTGTAGGTGGGATGCATGGTTTGGTTTGGATACTTTTGGTAAACATACAAACTTTAACAGTGAGTGTCTGTAACATCACAACCTGAGCCCAATCCTGTCCACCCAGACATCAACGTTCTCAAACCTTTCACTAGGGATCTCCGTATAGATAGATATATATATATTATAATATATATATATATATATAGAATAGATCCCTAAATAGACCTCCGAATATATAATCACTAGAATTTGATACAGCATCCATAATGTCAAAACATCTTACAATGCTTCACAGGTCAAGTGCAGTGCAATGCAATAGAATAGGTGCACCACAGCCATGAACTGAATGGTTAATTTATCTGGAGAATTGTTGGCCATAAAATGGGAGAAACACACTTCAATCTTGAAGAGAACTAAAGCTTCAATCTCCCTTCAGGCTCACATGCACAATGCATTTCACTTGGGATGTATTTCAATCAGAAATAGTGAGTCTCAGTCTGCAGCCCTGGCTGTACTGAGCCGCAATAAAAACATTCATCAATTCAGGGCATTATTTAACAGATCCTCTGAGAGTAGAAAACTGTGGATTGTGAAACAGCTCTACTTAAAGGAAATTAACAAAGGTATGTACACAAACCTATGGCATTATAAACTGCAGTGTCTGACATTTGATAAGAGAGAGAACTCCCCGAAGATTGATCAGCACTATTACCTTACTGGCTCAATGTTTTAGTGAAATCTACATGAGCTGCCAGAAAATATTCCTTGCAACCTTGTCACAAAATGACTTGATTTGGTGTAGAACAAGTTCATTTATCCTAAGTGAAGTACGGTTCACAGCCGTTGGAAGGCTGCCAGGTAAAGCCTTGCTGCTATTGATAATTTTTCTTTAACCTTAACACTGGGTGCACTTTGCTTAGATAATTTCTTGTATGTCAGTTAACTTTGCAACTTCACCTTTCTTGTATGTTGCGGTTACAGTTTAACTTTTTGTCAGTGTCCCACATGGTGAGCCCAATTTCACACTTGCCATCCATAGATCACTCAGGGCATGTCTACAGTAATCTAAGGCAAAACCAAATGAAGACATAGGTGTAGCTTAGCTAGTATCAATCTTGCCTCTGAATCAATGTTAATGGGTTCAAGGCAGAAAATAATAACAATGTGGTCACTCAGTCCACGTCTGTTTGTGGTACACTGCTATGTACAATTGGCTGCCGCAATTGGCCCACAAAATATACAGTCAATTCACTTATAGTATATTCTGTAAAGCACATACACTGTAAAGCGAATTGACTGTATATTTTGACATGTCTCGAAGACATGATAAGGAGCTATATCAAATGCAAGGATTATTATTATCTCAGCGTGTGAGCCCATGAACCAGGTTAACATTCAAGTGCAGTACTGACGGAGGTGCTGCCTTTTGGATGGCACATGACACTGAGGTCCCATCTGCCTGTTGTTTAGGTGGATGTTACCAAGATGGCTTGGTGTGAAAAGAGAAAGGAGTTTCTCCTGGAGTCCTGCCTTACAATCCTACAATGAATTGGTCATTCAGCTCACGTCTCTTGTGTGCAAAAATGCCTGTTACGTTTGCTTACAAATTCAGACACTACTCTTGAGAGTAAGTCCCGGTGAACTTCTTTGAAATGTTTCAATGTGATAAGGTGCTACAAAAAAGTCAGTTCATATTTTCCTTCTTTCTTATTAATACCGTGAGCAAAATGAATGGTCCTCAATCCAAATAGCCTGGTTGCCAATACGCAGAGACAGAGGTTACCTAACTAGGCCACCCGCGATAGACAGTTTCCCGAAACGGAGAGGGTTGGTTTATTCTGACCAAACAAAATTTGTTGGTTCATCACAAACAAGTGAATCACCCGATGTCCCTTTTTCCCTTGTGGATTGAGGTGTCAGTTCACATGTCAATGAGCTACTTAAACAATTCACCTTGGAATTGCCCATTCTTAACCTGCTACCGCACGCACGGTACAGATTTACAGTCCATTTCACCTGACCTTGCAACACGAAGGCTGTGCAGGAATAAGCAAGAACTGATAAAGAAGAAGGAAAGAAAAAAAAGAGTGGGTAAAAGGTAAAATCTTTTTCTAAAAAAAAAGTCCCAACGTCATTTGGAAACGTAGAGGCAAAATTCAATAAGCGCCAATAAGTTCCAATGGTGCAGAGGTTCACAGTAGAGTTTGCTTTGGTTTCCACAGTGTTGAACATTGCAAGCTATTTCCTGGAGGAGAGGAGAGGGTGTGGGCTGCATCTTTACTTTGTTCCACAATAGTCAAGAATGGCCGCTATAACATATCGGAACAGCCCTTGTAACAAATTAAAAAACCTTCATTGGAAATTGTGAGTCAAGTTGGCAATTCTTACACTTGAGGCCTGTTGAAGTCAAGTGTCTCCTCTGGTTGTGGCGACATCCTCAACACTTCAGTCTGATGTCTCTTGCTGCTCTGGAAGCAGCTCCTTACACATGTCGGAGTTAGCTCGATGCAGTGGAACCTCTGTGCCCTGAATGGTCACCGTCCGGCCCTTTCTGAAGTGAAAATCTCGTCCCTTTTTTAAAGACTCGTAGACTGTGACGGTCTCTCTGAAAACAGGGCAAAAAAGAAAATACAATTTCAAAACAATCCTAATAATAATCCTTGCATTTGACATAGCACCTTGTCAAGTTGTTGATCCGTCTCAAAGTGCTTCAAAGGATATTCTGGAAAGTGAAGTAACTATATATTTTCTAGGCAAAACATGGCAGCCAATTGCGCACAGCAGTGTCGCACAAACAGCCTGAGGTTTAGTGTAGATTTTGTGAAAAAAAATCAGTAACGTTTTACGATTTCTAATGTAATTTAAAGGTGAGAGAGTGAATGTAACTTTTAGCAATGGGAAAACAAAATACTTTTAGAACTGTGCATATTTGATCGAGACCTTTAAAATTATACATTATGCAATTGGTAAGATGGGAGGCCATTGAGGGAATTAAAAAATTTTTTACTTTGGGTGAGGTCAGGAGAAGTTTATTCGAGATTGTGGCTTTGTGGCTGGAATGGTAAAGTGATCCACTCTATGGCACTAACATCATCACACAAAAAAATAATTTGGTCACTCAATCCGCAACTGTTTGTGGGACACTGCTGCCCGCAATTGTCTGCTGTGTTTCGCCCACAAAATATACAGTCAATTCACTTTACAATCTATTCTGTGAAGCATTTTGTGAGTCTCAACAAAATGATGGGACGCTACATCAAATGCAAGGATTGTTATTATTAACTTACTTCGACACAAATGTTTAAAACACAGCACTGAGGTGGCAGCACAGGTTCAGTTGTTGGGATTAACCTATTTTACCTGTATTCAAATGGCTCTTTTTTCAGCTGGAGGCAAATCAAAATGGGGCTGTTTAAAAACTTGACGGTGGTGACAAAATCCAAAGCTGCTTCTGCCTCCGAAATGGTGCTGATTCCGGCTTGAATGAAGGATGTATCCATTTGGATGACAGAATTCACTACCAGTGAACCTCTGTAATAAAATGTGGAATATATTTAGATATATAATTTACAAGTCTCACAAACGTTCGGTGTGAATCGGCAAACATTCGGCTACTCATCCTCCCACAACTGATCTGAAAGGCTATTTGCCTGGACACCAGGAGAAACTTGTTTCTCTTTTTCACCTCATATAATTTGGTCACTCAATCCATGACTGTTCCTGGGACACTGCTGTATGCAACTGGCCCACAAATTGGCCATACAGTCAATTCACTTCACAGTATATTCTGTGAAGCGCTTTGAGATGCCCCGAAGATGTGATAAGGCGCTACATCAAATGCAAGGAATATTATTATTATCACGTGATGTTGACGTCCACCTGAATAGGCAGGTGAAAGTTGACACTTCCACCAATGCAGCACTCTCCACAGCGTTGGAACAGGACAACAGAGAAGAGAGAAGAATCATGACTCGCTAATACAGTTCATATCAAATGCAAGGATTATATTAAGTAAAAACCCCACTGTAATGCACATGATCAAAGTCTGACCGTGTGAAATACCATCTCCAATGTTCAGCACCCTTAGTGTGTTTGATGCCATGTCATTATTTCTGCAGCAAAGATTAATGGAAAGTGAAATGGTGTGCTACATTTCCTGGCTAGTTTAGGATCGAGGTTAATAAGTTTAGCACAGTACAGATCAAAGCTTAATCATATTCGTAAAGTTTTTGTTTTTAAAATTGTGTTTCTACATCCAGAGATTGCAGTAAGAAATTCGTCAACAGCAGCCCAAAGCATTAGGCTTTGTGTGAAAATATGACTGTGACAAAGCACCAGCTTTGAAGGCTATCTCAGACAAGCAGAGCTCAATGTGCCTGAAAATTTGTTTGATCTTACCACATATTCAAATTAGCCAAAGTCAACTTCAAAGACTTTTTGCTTGTTCTCCACTCACTCGCCATTACCAATAATGGAACTGGTAAATTAGAGGCATCAACATTTATAATAAATAATAATCCTTGCATTTGATATATCACATCGTTGAGATGTCTCAAAGCGTTTCACAAAATATTTTGTAGACTATATTTTGCAGGAGAAACTTGGTGGCCAATTACGCACAGCAGTGTCCCACAAACAGTTGTGGATTGAGCGAGCAAATTTTTGGGGTAAGATTTATTACCCCCAGAAAGTGATCCGCCAATCGACTAACAACTGGGTTCCTACTTAATACTAGGTAAACAGAGGCATGTGGAGTAAGGAAACTTGCCTAAGGTGTGGCTCCACCCAGGAATCAACCCTAGGTCCTCTCGCTTACGAGGCAAGTGGGCTAACCACTAAGCTATAGGACTTCAATTAGAAGCATCAACATTTACTGAGTGCCTGGTACTTATTGCACAATCTCCACACTTTATACAATGCTTTCTGTTGTTGTGCAACAAATCAAAGAATTACAATCTCAAAGAGCTTCACACAATACATTGTAAAATGAATTGACTGTGTATTTTGTGGGTGGACATCTATTGGCGCAGTTTTGACTTGCCTCATGGGCATGGACTGTACTTACGGACCTATTTCTGATGCGGGTTTTGGATTCTTGGCTCCAAAAACTGAGCTCGATGTTGCCCGAAATGTCAATTCCGAGCCCCCCCTGGAATTCAGCACTTGCTTGAAGCCCAGATTGAAGGAGAATCGCCTGCAGAAATATAATAACAATCATCATAATAATCTTTGCGTTTCATATAGCGCCTTATCATGTCTTTCAGATGTCTCAAAGCGCTTCACAGAATATACTATAAAGTGAATTGATTGTTCATTTTGTGGGCATAATGCTGGAGGTAACTGCACATGGCAGTGGATCACAAACAATTGTGTAGTGAGTGCCCAAATTATTATTATTTTATTTATTTCTTGAAGGGATTATTACCCCTGGAAAGTGATCCACCAATTGACTAACAACCGGGTTCCTACTTACTGCTAGGTAAACAGAGGATGTGGATTAAGGAAACTTGCTCAACGTTTCACCCTGCCAGGGAATTGAGCCCAGGTCCTCTCGCTTGCATATCATATGCAATGATTATTATTGTTAATTTGAATTTCTTTACTGATGTAGGACTAGTGAAAATGTGACTTATAATATGAGGTTTGTAACAAGCGAGCTTGTTATGATGACTTTCTGTGTTGGTTTTCAGTACCTGAAGATGATCAATGAGTAAAATGGATCCGCTTATCACATTAGTAGGTTCCTCAGTCACTGCCCACACTTTCTCCATAAGGTCATCGTATCCTTGGAAGAACACCACTGGACGGAGCTGGACATCGAAGAGAATCACGGACATCTCAGCCATAGGTACCACATCATCTTTTGCTTCCTTCGAGCTTTCTTCCAAAAATGAGTCTAGACCTTGAGCTTCGATTGAGACCTGGTGTTACAACAACAACAACAACTTGCATTTATACAGCGCCTTTCATGTCAGGAGGATGTCCCACAGCATTGGACAGTCAAGGGTTTGCATCTGAGCTACAGGTTAATTCGGGAGAGCTGGGGCCAAGGGTGGTAGGGGTGACAAGATGGCCCAAGGAACGTTTTTAGACAGATCTTGAAGGAGGTGAATGAAGAGGCGAGGCGAAGTGACTCCGGGATGGAATTCCAGAAAGTGGGAGCAGAAAGGCTGAAGGCCCAACTACTGATGGTGGGGCAGACCAGAGGTTTTAGAAGATCACAGAGGTAAAGTGAGGCAAGACCGTGGAGTTGAAACATGTGATGAACAACATTGAAATACATCAGCAATAGGAATTGCTGCCCATGTTAAGTTGCTGCGCTCATCCCTCCCCAGCACACAGTAATAGATATACTGGAATCTGAGTCTTAAGGTGAACATGTTAACAAAACCTGGGTGGCCACAATATCAGAAATAGCATTGATTGATCACATAAGCAGTCATAGCTGGTACAGCGCATAAACCAAGGATTGCGAGAATGCCATACCAATCATAACAATAATGACTGAGTATAATTAATAATCCTTGTATTTGATGTAGCACCTTATCACATCGTCGAAACATCCCAAAGCGCCCCACAGAATACACTGCAAAGCAAACCAACCATAATTTGTGGGCGAAATGTGGCAGCTAACTGCGCACCGAGTGACCAATTTTTTTTGAAAGGATTACCAGAAAATAATCTGCCAATCAACCAACAACCAGGTTAAACATTAAACTAACACACTGACAACATATATACCAGGGTAACATGGAACTAACACACTGGGAACAGACATACCTGGGTAGCGTGAAGGTGACTTCCTTGGCTAAATATGAAGAAATCAGAGTTACTCTTCCTTAAGACGCCAGTTTCTCCAAAGAGTAAATCCATGCTGTAGGAGGATATCATATCCCTGGTAACTGACACGTAAAGACATTTAATGGCAGCAATTTCCTTTAACCAGTAAACATCTCAATATCAATTAATTATATTTAATGCCTTAATATTTACAAAAAAAACAATAATAATGTGGTGGTTCAGGGTGTTTTTTTACCTGCTAAATATCCTGAACAGGAAGATGAACGTCCAGTTCTTGACAGTCGGTGGTAATTATAGACAACCTGGTCTCTCAGAGCTTCGCTGATTATTTTCCTAGAAAGAGACAGCGTAAAAGACACCTTTCACGTGTTAGAGGAATGGAGGCTTCTTCTGCATATCGAAGAGCAAGATAAGGCACTTAGGGACAACATTAAGGTTAACCCTCTGATTCCATAATGCCCTGTCCTCTCAGTGGACTCTGGCCTGCTCCATGTCCCCACCCTGCCTGTCCCACCATCAGTGGCCAGGCCTTCAGCTTCTCTGCCCCTACCCTTTCAAACTCCACCCCACAGTCCTTTTGTCTGGCCCCCTCTTTTGCGTCCTGCAAGGCCTTCATCAAGACCCTCCTCTTCAACCATATCTTGGGGTACCCTCAAACCTCCATGGCCCCTACCCTCCACCCATCCTGATCCCAAACCTTAGCTCAGGTGCAAATTCAAACGAATTGCCTATATTTTGTGAGGGAAAAGCGGCAGCCAATTATGCACAGCAGTGTCCTGTATTGCTGGAATAAAAACAATTCCCTAGGGAAGGAAGTGGTGAGAAACACAGTCCTAATAGCTCATTACAATCCACTGTTGAAAGTGCCTGCGGAGAAGAAATGAATGCAAACCATATCTCAGTCTCACTGGAATTACACTCTCACCTCACCGGACGGTCAGACCGCAGGATATTCTGCAGTTTTGCCAGAAGGTACTTAGACAGTTCTGGCTCCACTTCTCCGGTAGACAGCAATAGATTCTTCACTTCCATGACCGAAGGCGCGCTGTTCAGGATGACGTCAGCTGCAGCCGCTCGCACGGCAATGTCATAGACATTCCTGTTCTGGTGGAAAATCCGGTTCATGTGTTGCTTCACCTGGCAACCAATTGACAGTAAAAGATTATTCCCACTGGTTGGTGTCTCGACAATAAAGGGGGCAGCAATTCAGGAAAATCAAGGGCAGGATGGTCGTGATGCCACATTTGGAGCTTAGGAAGAACAGAGGTCTTAAATTTCACATAGTCTTAGGCCCTAAATCTAAGAGCAGGGACAGGAGCAGAGCCACATTGGGAAGAAGGCTGCAGGATTTGGGTAATCAATACTAAACTGACTTGACAATGTGACACTTCTACAGGGATACAGCATACCTTTACTGTGTACTCTTGGTGTGAAACTTACAAGTTACCAGAATGATACAATCAATTTAAATTCAGTGAAACAGATCCGTCGATTGTACTGGGGGATGGGGGTGTTGGTGGTGGGAATGGGGGAAACACTAATCATTTTAAAAGTCCTTTACCTCGGGGGTGATATAGACACTTGGGAACCTCTGCAGCGCAGCCACGGCAATCGCTGTCACGGACCCAGAGAGCTGGTCAGCATATCGTAATAGAAGAGGAATGGTTTCTGGAAGAAGAGCGTTCTTCAGGGCTAGGAGGTACATCTTAGTGTCTGCTTCCTGCTGAGTCAATTTCAAAGCGTCCACAAGCGTGTGCTTTGCAGCCTTGACAACCTGCGAAACAATTGTAAACACATAGTCAGTCAGGGTGGCCTGTCACTGTCTCAACTTGCTCCCTCAGGGTTGTCTGACACTTTCCACTGCCAGCCTGCATTGTAACGTGCCTTAGCAGCGCTCCACTGATTCACTGCACTCTCGTACTTGTGATAGTGGAGTATTCCACCTTGGCTGATTAAAGAAGTAAACTAGAGGATTGCCCTATGTCAGTGAGACACAATTCACTGGTAGTGAATCATGCTGGGTAATGTAACACACAACAGTACAGTACAGTACATCCTTCCCCTCCTTCAAACTTCTTTCTAATTGGCTCACAGTTCCACCAGGCACATTTCTAACCAGAGGGATATACAATGGACATTTGAGATTTATTTCTACTCTTTGAAACTCCGCCCCACAGACCCTTTGCCTTGCTCCCTCCCTTGCCTCTTTCAAGGCTCTTCTCAAGATCCTCTTCTTTGACCGAACCTTCCTCCCTCCATTCTCCCTGCTCTGCACCCCTCCTGATTCCAACCCCCAGCTTGAGTCCTGCGCTTTGGGACATCCTCCCGATGTCAAAGGCACTACACAAATGTAATTTGTTGTTGTTATTGTTGTTGAGGGAAATAGAGAAGGGACGGGGATAGGATAGGAAAGAGAGAGAGAAATTAAATATGGATGTCAAGTTGCTGATATAAACTAAGTCTATTGTGATTAGCACTTTCGTCCCAATTTTTTAGATCTAACACAAAGACTTTGGTGAATAGACCTCTCAGTTTATGTTAGATCTTTGATACCTTATCTCCTCCTTCACCTATCTCTCGGTCCCTCAATAGAGACACGTGGGGTGAAAAATGTGATAGTTGCAGTACGTGATGTGTTAATATCCCTGGAGTCCCGACGTGGGGATTGAATCTACAATCCTCTGACTCAGAGGCAAGCAAGCTACCAGCTTCACCTTGAATTACTGGCCTATACATCAGGTACGTTGAGGCAGCTACTGACCTGTAGTTTGCAGAGTCCCACCCGACACATCTTGCCGATCACAGCTCCAATTGCTAAAGCTGTGGTTTCCCGGATTTCTCTGTTTGCAATTTTGCCGTTAAACTTGTCCTTTAGAGAAACACAGGCTTCGGATTAAAGTGCTTTCAGCGCAGGTCAAAGGCACCAGAGCAAAGGTGTTCTTCTAGGTTAATCAAGTTGAAGGAATAGTCGAAGGCATGAGCAAAGGCCATCCAGTCTATCAAGCACATTCCTTCCACAGACTAGATCCTAGGATGGACTCTAGCCCACCATCTCACATTTCTTCCACTGAAATGATGTATGTCTCTTATTAAGGGCGATAAGGAGTAATAATATATGGTAATAATCCTTGCATTTGATATTCCGCAATTTGCTGCCAACAAATTTGTTTCTCACAACAAAATACACAGTCCATACAGTATATTGTGTAAAGTGCTTTGAGACGTCTCAATGACCTGATAAGGCGCTATAACAAATGCAAGGGTTATCATCAGTATAGTTTTATTCACATTTAAATATTAAACTTTAATTCGATCTGAAATATCAAATCAGTTATAAAACATCAATATCATGTGCAAATTATACATACCAGCAAAGTGCGTAACAGCTCCTCCGATGGGCGTGAAGAGAGAGCTGAGGCGTATAAAAATTTCTCCAGCATTGAAGTCTGGGTCTTCTTGGTGAAGTCTAGATATTCGGAGAGTGCAGCGAGGCAAGCTTTGGTCTGAGCTGCTGTTAATGAGTCTATGAGGAAAGGACTAGAAAAAAGGACACAATGATCAGAACTCTTCATCCTCTTCTCTACCTCCCTGATCCCTTTGATCAGATTCTCTCAGGAAACTTCAAATGTGTCTGCTTCTAACACAACAACAACAAAATTACATTTGTATGGCGTCCTTCATGTCAGGAGGACGTCCCAAGGCGCTGGACAGACAGAGTTATGGACCTGAGCTGGAGTTTGGGGTGGGGGAGAGGGGAGGGCAGGGGTGGGAAGCAGGAAGATCGAAAGCACAGTCGAAGAGGAGGGTCTTGAGGTGGGTCTTGAAGGTGGCGAGGGAGGGGGCGAGACGGAGGGACTGCAGGATGGAGTTCCAGAGGGTGGGTGCAGAGTGGCGGAAGGCCCGCCCACCAATAGTAGGCCGAGCAAGGCGGGGGATGTGAAGCAGGCCAGAGCCCGCTGAGCGGAGGGAGCCAACAAGGTGGTAGAGGGGTTAGGAGGTTGGAATGGTAGCCGGGAGCAAGACCGGGAGGGGTTTGAAGGTGAGGACCAGGATCTTGAACTGTATCCTCTGTGTGATGAGAAGCCAGTGGAGTTGGGAAAGGATGGGGGGGTGATAGGGTCGCGGAGCCTAGTGCGGGAGAGGACATGGGTTGCAGAGTTCTGGGTGATCTGCAGCCTGTGGAGGGAGGAGTTGGGGAGGCCATCAAGCAATGAGTTCGCATAGTCAAGCCTTGATGTAATGAAGGCATGTATGAGGGTTTTAGCGGCCTGCGGTGTGAGACAGTGTCGGAGCCGGGTGACGTTGCGGAGGTGGGGGAAGGCAGAGCAGATGTGGCGTAGAAAGGATAGTTGAGGGTCAAACAAGACCCCAAGGTTCAGGACTGGCTTAGCAAGGTGGCACGTGCAACCCCATGGATGGTGATGCTGTCAGTGCCTGAGGTGAAGAGGTGCTGATGGGAACCAATTAGGTGAACCTCGGACTTGTGGGCTAGAGGAGTAGCTGTTTGAGGAGATGAAGTGCAGGCGGTGTGAGAGGTACAATCTGAACCAGTCAAGGACAGCGCCATGGAGGTTGAGGTGAGAGGAGAGGCGGTGGATGAGGATAGAGTGGTCAACGGTGTCAAAAGCAGCAGAGAGGAGGACGAGGAGGCAGAGGGAGCCCTGATCGCAGATGGACAGAATGTCATTTGCAAGGTCGCAAATGTTGACCAGTGAAGTGCTAAGACTTGATGAGAAATGTTTTGTTGACTCTCATGCGGGGCAAAACTTTGGGAAAGTTTCCTTACTCCACACGGCTCTGTTTACCCAGCAGTAAGCAGGAACCTGGATGAGAGCTAACTTTCTTCAGTTGAACGTCAACAAGACCGAGGCTCTCCTGTTTGGCTCCCGTCAGCGCCTCCTCACCTCAGGCGCTGACAGCATCACCATCCATGGTTGCACACTCCACCTTGCTAATTAAACACAAATTAAAACATAATTTCTTGAAGCACTATCCCCAAATATTGAAAGTGCCTGGCATTCAGCACGTTACCACCGTACGTAATGACACCCTGATCTTACAACAACAGCAACACAATTACATTTGTATAGCGCCTTTCACATTAGGAGGACTTCCCAAGGCGCTGATCGTGTGAAGGAACGATTAAAAGCAGACCACCAGTATTGTTTAATCAACAGAGCAATTTTTACTGAGTCCCCTTAATACATGAGGTCCACATTAACCCACTTTTACACTTCTTTGCGTCTTCACACGTCTTCAAGTTCATTTTAATATAGAGATTTTTGTATTAAGCCCTTTTTAAACAAAAAATTTTTTTCAGATCGATCACAGACTATGTGCTAAATTCTGTAGAAATTGCCATCAATTTGTATTGTGTCTACTCACATCTCCTTGACCACTGCCTTCTTCAGCAGATCCAAGACCTCGATCTTCTCAGATTTTCTCAGTAATTGGACGAGTCTCACAAAGCTCCTGGTGGTGGATACGTTCGAAAGATCCTGGAGGTCAACTGTTTTCCTGAAACTTCTGAAATAATCTCCTGCCTAAAAGAATATGGGAAAACAATCACCTTCTGATCTGTCTGAGACATCAATTCTTTACAAAATATTCACAGAATATACTGTGAAGTGAATTCACTGTATTTTGTGGGTGAAACGCGGCTGCCAATTGCGCACAGCGACGTCCTACAAACAGTCGTGATTGAGTGATTGGAGGGAAAGAGATCTGCCATTCGATTAACAATCGATTACTGCGAGGTAAACAGAGGCATGTGGAGTAAGGAAACTTGTTTAAGTTTTTGCCCCATGTGGGAATCAACAAAACATTTCTCATCAGGTCTTAGCACTTCACTGGTCAAACCTAATTTGGTTCATACAACAGAATACAAGAGAATACTTGTGTTGTTTCTACACAGCAGAGCTCAAAGTGCCTTCACTGTAACAGATTTTTCATGACAGATAATGATCCATCACCATGTTCTGTGCAAAATGTTCCATAACGTGGATGGAGTGACGAGGCGAAATGCATCTCCGACAGTTTGTTTCAGTCCCTCCATAATCTCAGATCGCTGTTTTGTAACAGTTGGGTAAGGGGACATGATGAATGTCTTGTACCTTCTTTGTCTGTGGTCTAATTGAGCTCCTTATGTAACTGTAGGCATTGTACGTTGTTATTCATTTCAGACTGTTGTACATTGTGAACAATTATGATGATAAAACATAGATAATGGGAATCTAGAGAACATTTATGGCTTTTTTGTATGAAATAATCATCTTTCAAAAATGGGAAGTCCTATAGCCCGGGGGTAATAAAACGGCCAAGAGGTCAACCACAGATAAGGTAATGCTCACTGAAAAAAACAAATAAGAAACTAGACGAGAAACAAGCTGCTGGCTCATAGCGCTTCACAGCATATACAGTGAAGTGGATTAACTGTATATTTTGTGAGTGAAACATGGCAGCCAATTGCACACAGCAATGTCCCTCCCACAAACAGCCATGGAGTGAGTAACCAGTTTTATTTGGGGGATTAACCAAGAAACAGCCTAACTAAAAAACTCATAACTAAGAAACGCCTAACTAGAAACGCCGAACTAAGAAACTAGACTTCACTTTCAGTGTAATGCAAACACTCAACATAAAGCCACAACAAAAGCTAAATTGAAACACATCCCATAGCCTTAAACTGTTCACTAACGCCAGGAGACCTTGAAATCGCGCTCCCACATGCCAAATCTCAAAGGTATTCACTGAACTTAGCTTTTCATGGTGCAGATAAAATATTAGAGTAAATGTGCTTAGTCTTTCTTCGTGAATAATCTCTCATTCCGCCAAGCATCATGTGAGTGATCTCTCCTCTACCCAAACAGACGATGGGTCTCTCAGGACCTTGCGAATCTCTTTGTTACGTCATTCAACAAGGAGGTTTAAGTCTTTTGCCATGGCAGGATTAAAAGGGACACTATCTTTGTTAAACGGATTTTTGGATAAAATCTCTTTTTACTTGAGAAGTACTTTATATTGAACTTGATTTTACAAAAGCAACGCATTGGAAACTACTTACCTCTGCCAACATAATCTAACTCGGTTAACAATCTTGCTTAGATCCTGCGGCACTAATAAAAAAGAAAAGAGAGTTTCTCTCTCCTGATGTCCTGGCCAACAAATCCCTCATGGGGGTTGGGGGGGGAAGTGGGGGTGGGGGTGGGGGGTCACGGTCGCAGCGAGATTGGCATATCCGTGAGCCTGCTTCCTGCCAATTTAAAGATCTTAATCCATGTACTCTTCATGCATATCTGTCGAACCTCATCAAGCCAGCGTCTTGCTACTTGTATTTAAAAGCTGACCCACGTGCTTGCTCCTGTCAATCTGCGCCTGTCACAATGATAGGGAACGTAACCCCTCTAACACGACCATTGCTCTACGGCCTCACATTCCTTCTAGATAAGAAAAGTTGCTCGCAGTTGTAAATTCACTTCGGATTCAGCTCTGTGTGAGGGAGACCTTGAAGGTTGAGGTTGAACGCAGCGATTAATACAGAAAAAAATCAGGAAAGAATTTTTAAAAATTCGTTTTGCCAATTTTTCTTCTCCCCTCTCAAAGGTGCTTGACCCTATTTTTTGGTTGCTATCTGCTGCGGTAAGATTAAGATTCCATGAGCATCCAATATCTTCAACACTTCATCCAATTGGCCATTGATAATGTGTGAGCCTTGACAGGGTTTGTCAGCAGACACTTTGGCCACAAGGCGGCAGCACTGTCAAAACTTTCCGCTGACATCCCTTCCCCCCACCCACAGGCCCTTTGGCCAAAGTTTGGGCTGATGTTTTTTCTGCAAACGAGAAATCTAAATATAATCAATCTCCTACCCGGTCCCCTACAACCTTTAATACTGGGAGGTGTGAACCTGATTCACTTGGTATTTTAGAGTCATATAGTCTAAGCTGACACTCCAATGCCGTGCTGGGGGAGCAACTGCATTATCGGAGGTGCCATCCTTCGGATGAGAAGTCCCGAGGTCCCGTCTGCTTGCTTGGGTGGACGTTAAAGACCCTCTGGTGCTATTCAAAAAGAGAAGGGAGTTTGTCCTGGTGTTCTTGCCAACAATTCCCCAGATAAAATTGGTCATTCACTTTATGGCTGTTTTGTGTGACATTGCTGCGCTCAAATTAGTCACCAAATTCCCTACAAAATAAAGTCACAACACTGCACTTCACAGTGAAATCCTGTGAAGCCCTTTGTGACACCTCGATAACGTGATATCAAATGCAAGGATTATTGTTATTGTTATGAGAAAAATACAATTTTTAAAGACAGTATTCCACTTTAGGAGTATTTGTGCTTAATTCTTAGATTGTCCTTAACTTTTATCCAGTTAAACAGCTCTAACAATTAGAAGGATTATTATTCATTGATTCCGTTTGAAGAGGATTAATGGCCTCTGTGTCAACAATAATAATAATCCTTGCATTTGATATAATGCTTATCAAGTCTTCGAAACATCTCAAAGCACTTCACAGAATATACTGTAAAGTGAATTGACTGTATATTTCGCGGGTGAAAAGCGGCAGCCAATTGCACACAGCAGCGTCCCACAAACAGTCATGGATTGAAGTGACCAATTATTTTTTTTTGAAGGAATTTTTACCCCCGGAAAAGCGATCCGCCAATCGACTAACAACCGGGATCCTACTTACTGCTAGGTAAACAGAGGTGCGTGAAGTAAGGAAACTTGCCTAACATTTTGCCCTGCCTAGGAATCAAACCGAGGTCTCTCGCTTGTGAGGCAAGTGCTCTATCCGCTGACCTACAGGACTCCACAATGGTTTGTAGGGCACAATTTCACATTCCAACCAACCTCCACGTGAAGCAACATTGCATTCAGCTTCAACTGTAGCTAGTAATCAGGAAAAGAGACCCTGTGTGCTTAACTTTGTCCAGGCTTATGGGGGAAGTGACAGTATGGAGAATAAAGCAGGAAAATGGGAATAAAGATCTAATAAAAGCTGGAATGGCCTCCTCAACTTTGCAGTGGTCTTATCTGAACAGACCTGGAATGTTACTGCCCCACGAGACAGATCATTGGCAAGTATTAGTGGTGTAGGTTTATAAGGATGAGGGACATCACCTCACACAGAATGAGATTCATTGTGCTACGCAATTGCTCCAAGACCAACAACATAAGAATGGACACAGCAAAGGTTGGTATGTTGAACGGGCACTTACAGAAGGACACTCGTTACAAGCTGTCTCTTCGGGATCACTGCTTACAGAGAAGGAGATGTAGTTTCCAAGATCCTGCAATGCCTCTTGAAGGCTCCTTTTGGAAAATTCCTCCGATCTCGGTTCTGAGGTCAAATAGTGAAGTTGTTGTCTGTTGTGGTGACAGATGTTACCAGTCAGTGTTTTTTATTAAACTGAATCCCGGAGCTACGTATTCCATTCACTTCACACTTAGCACATAAGGTACATAAAAGGTGTGCACCAGTACCACTTCAATAATACCAGGGATAATATAATAATCCCTTCAAAAATTTTTAAATATTTATAATTTGGTTACTCAATCCAAGACGATTTGTGGGACACTGCCGGTTGCTGCATTTTGCCCACAAAATATACAATACATTCTGTGAAGCACTTTGATACGTCTCAATGACTTGATAAGGCGTTATATCAAATGCAAGGATCATTATTATTACGCTTTCAGTGACGATTCCAGTTTGAATTTTGGTCCCAAAACTACCGCTAGGAGGTAAACCCAGAGATAATATTCCATTCCTCCAGCTCTGGTAAAAATAAACTCCAGTTTCAGTATCTAATAATAATAATAATTATTCTTGCATTTGATGTAGTGCTTTATCACATCTTCGAGACGTCGCAAAGAACTTCACAGGATATACTGTAAAACTAATTGACTGTATTTTGTGGGCAAAACATGGCAACCAGTTTACACACAGCAATGTGCCACAAAGAGCCATGGCGCAAGTGACCAATTTTATTTGGAGGATCGTTGGCCAGGACACTGGGAGAAACTCGCTTTTCTTTTCGAATAGTGTCGTGGGATCTGTAACTTCCACTTGAACAGGCAAATGGGATCTCAGTTTACAACAACAATATAGCGCCCTTCACGCCGGACGGCATCTCGGAATGCTTACAACAACAAAATTACATTTATAGAGCACCTTTCACATTGGGAGGATGTCTCAAAGCGCTTAATTTCTTCTCTTCTCTTTGACCGTGCCTTCAGCTCCCCTCTCGACTCTCTTCCCCCTTCTCGCTCCCTCCCATCCCTCCCCTCACCCTGACCATTTCCCCCCTCCTCGCTCCCTCCCCTCCCCTCACCCTGACCATTTCCCCCCTGCTCGGGTCATGACCCAACTGTGCAGCGCCTTGGGACGTCCTCCTGACGTGAAAGGCGCTTTATAAATGGAATCTTGTTGTTGTTGTTGTTGTTAATGTCTCATCTGCAATTTTAACTGGGAGATTTGTCGGCCAGGACAGAGATACCCTTCTCTCTTTGAGTAGCGCCACGGGATCTTTAACGTCCACCCGAAATACTTCAAACGCTCCTTATTTTACTCGTTATTTCATTTGGGGCGAACAATGCAATGGGCGCGGGTGGGGGGGGTGGGAGGGGGGAATTAAAAAAAGAATAAGAAGTGGAAACGTGTTCTTCGAGTGGCAGTTTTTGAAGAATGGCCAGTGAAATTTGGCTAACCTTGAACTGATCTTGGCACCAATTGTTGATTGAAGATTGAGGCTGACCACATGATTTTCCTCTGTGACTGCTGACTTGATAATCCCATCCTCCACAGAGTAATGAGTTGCACAGGTGGGTTGCCAGTGAACTCTCAGAACCTTGAAGAAAAGGTCAACAATGATAAGTGAGCATCTGTTTCAACAACTGAAGGACTTTTTACACCAGAAAAAAAGAGGCCAGAACTGTGATGCGTTCTACGATGAAAGGAAACTGTTATGTTTTAGCTTGGAGAGCTTCAGGGAGTCTTACCCGGTTAAGATCAACTGGTGTTAAACAATTTAAGAGCAGAATTATGGAAAACAAAGTCTTAAATTCAATCTTACGTTGGAAGCCGTTTTCTTTTTAGGGTTAGGGTTAGAATTAGTGCTCCGAGACACTATCCTGCATGAGATACTCTATATAAATATTGTTGTAATAATTCTCCAGTTTTTAACTTTTAATAATATTATCAAATGTTAAGATACATAAAAATAAAAATGTATAATATAAAAATAATTCTGCACAATCTCATGATTTAAAATGAAATAACAATATTAATAGTAATAATCCTTACATTTGGTATTACAGCTCAAAGACAAGGTGAAATTTCAATGCTTTGGATGTGATATACAGTATTGCCTCCATTTGAAGGGGTAAATACCAGACAACTTTGCCCCCACATCCTGGGGTAACAGTCTGAGATGTCGCTGAGTGTAAACTAAAGCAAGTATTGAAAGCAACAAGGGCCGCAAGACAGAACCCGCAGGATCCCTGCTCATTACTTTACTTTCAGCCTGGATGTCATATCTGTTTCTAGGATTTCAGCCAATTCTCTATCCAGCCTACACACCCATGCTGTGACCCTAACCTCAACTGCAAATGTAGATGTGAAAACTTCTGAAAGCTTTCTGCCAACCCAAGTATGTCGAATGCCCTTGTCCGTCTTATCGGTGATAGCTTAGATTCAAATATCATTCAAATGTCCTTCCCTTTCCCCAATCCAAGTCCTTTAGCAAGTGTTTTATTCACCTTTTTTGCCCCTCCAGATCTCTTAAAGTAGTTTCTGTACAAAACAACTTGTTAAACATAAGATTACAAGAGAGGTTCAAATGAAGAAGTTTTTTCAGTCCACTTAATCTCATTCAAGACTGATGTGGATAGATTTTTGTTAGGTAAAGCTATCAAGGGATATGGAGTACAGATCAACTATGATCTAATAGAACGGCAGAACAGGCTCAAGGGGCTGAATGGTCTACTACTGTTCCTATGTTCCCGTTCCCAGCAATTCTATTGGGATTTCAAGTCTCGGTCTCTGTCACCCTTTGCAGTCAACCACGTTCTGTTTATGTTAGCTCCTCGGAGCAAGCAAGACCAAAAGGAGCTAAATAGAGCAGGAGCACAATTCAGTTGCCCCCACCCACTAATGTGGTAATGAGAAGAAGAGATCTATCTCAGGACATCTACCCCCACTCAACCAATAACCTTCCTATCCGCCAATAACCCACTCTGATGGAATGCACGATTTCAGTGCTGCTACAGCCGGTTGCACACAGAATATCAGGGCACATTGTGCACCGCTGCAGTCTAATTTGCGACATTTCTTAACGTGTAATACGATTCTATTGAGCTGCTCGCACATTGAGAACGTTGGTCAGTGTGACAGGTTAGAGGAGAGAGAGCGCATTTGTGTGACTGTAAAAGTAACAATAAGCTCCAGGAATACAATAAAAATTTACGTTTATATAGCGCCCTTCACGTCGGGAAGAAATCCGAAGGCACTGGCAGATCACGATGGTGATTTTTTTTTAAACAGAGTTCTGCAGGTAATGAGATAGCATCGGGTTCAACCAGACAGCAAACTCTGATCGCTTAACCAGAAGGTTTCTTTGTTTAAAGAGAAGGAAGTTTCTCCAGGTGTCCTGGCCAACAATCCCTGAGATAAAATTGGTCACTCATTTCGCGGCTGTTTGTGGGACATTTGCTGATTGCAGACCGACTGCCTGGTTTACCTTCAAAACACACAGTCACTACACTTTACAGTAAAATCCAGTGAAGATCTGTGAGATCCTGTGAATCTCAACAACGTTCTAAGGCACCATATCAAATGAAAGAATTATTATTATTTGACCGAAATATGTAGATGTAGTGGTGCAATGCCTATGTTCAACCATTAGAGGGAAGTTTAACTACTTCTATTATTCGCTTTGCAATTATAGTGACATCAAAAAAAATGAAGTTATCATCCTGACCTAATGGCAAGAGCAGATAATCCCTAGCCAGCAGTACATGCATTACACACAACCTCAGCACATCCTGGTCAAGGAAAGGGGGAAGAGAGAGAAAAAATCAGCCACGGTTCCCTCTATTACTGATCATTATTCAGTGACCTCCCTTCTTCCCTGTTCTCCCAACAGCTGGTTTCGATTCACCTCATGGCTATGTGTGGGAAGACCTTGCTGGTGCAAATGGCTGTCAAGTTTTGTTGCAGGAACTGTCGCTGTACTTGGCAGTAATTATCTGTGAAGTGCTTTCGATCATTTTGTCATGCGAAAGCTGGTGTAAGTTCGATAGATTTAATATTGAACAGAATTTAATGCCAGGGCTCACATTACTTATTATTAATAATAATCGCTGCATTTGACCTAGCGGCTTTCACATCAGAAGGACATCTCAAAGTCCTTTGCAGGATTTACTGTAAAGTATTTATGGTGTCTTTAAGTGCGATGAATTGCACACTCTCAGGTACAGTATTTTCCAGGGTAGGTACTATAAATTACCTACAAATATAACAATGACCTGTAAGGTGCTTCGAGTCATTTTGATGCTATGTAGGCAATACATTAAAATGCAAGGATTGTTAAGAGTCCTGTAGCTCAGTGGTTAGAGCACTCGCCTCGCAAGCAAGAGACCTGGATTTGATTCCCGGCAGGGTGAAACATTGGGTAAATTTCCTTACTCCAGACGCCCGATAATAATCCCTCGAGAAAACAAACAATAATAAATTGGTCACTTCAATCACGACTGTTTGTGGGACACTGCAGTGTGCAACTGGCTGCCGTGTTTCGCCCACAAATATACAGTCAATTCACTTTATAGTATGTTCTGTGACGCGTTTTGAGACATCTAGAAGACGTGAAAAGCACTATATCAAATGCAAGAATTGTTATTATTATTATAGAAAAATAGTACGCCACCTACTGCTTATGATGAGATACTACAATTAATTCCTGGCAAAGAAGATAGAATAGCTGAATACATTAACTGGCTCCTTGCCGGGAATCTGCCTCACTGCTGATCACTGATTGTTGGGCTCAAGGTATGTGTTATATTTGCTGAAATATTTGTATAAGGTAATCTTACTCCTACATTCTTTTAAAGGGGTATTAGCTCGATGCTTGAAGAGGCAGAATATTAAAAGGTGTGGAACGTCACTCCTCTGCAGCAACCTCTATAGTCCAGTTCCTGAGCCTGACTGTCTATAGTTCTTCAAGGCACCGCTTATGATAGAGCAGCCAGCCTGGATTTTTAGCAGTACCTGGAGGATATCATGTTAAACTGGCAAGTGAAGAATTAAAGGGCAAGGTGGTTCTAACTGGGCAAGTAGAGGGAAGTCAGACAGCTGTCACCATGGTAAGCAGTGAGGCTTTAGCTGGTTGTACGACGACAACAACTTGCATTTAGATAAAACCCTTTCACGTGAGGTAGCATTTCAGGGTATTGTAAACAGTATGACAGTGTGCACACCTACCCATGGAAATTCCAGAGATAGATTGTTGGAATGGAATGCGCACTCACTCCCTGGAGGGACGCATCCTGCTTACCTTATTCCAGAGAGTATTAGGCATAGGTTAGCCAGAGCCTAGGCTTGGGGATGCCCAGAATATTCGTTGGGGTAACTGCTGGAGTCTAACCAGTTAAACCCGCATAGCTTGCTATTGGTATTGCTGCCTGGCAAGCTTTCCCATTGCTTGTCCAGCTAGGACCACCCTACCCGTTAGGGGTTTGGCTTGCAGGGTTAACAGGAGCTGGGATGCCTTACTGCCCCCAGTGACTGGTCTGCCCTTCCAAGTCCTGCTGATGAGCCAGGCTGGGCTGGTCTATCATCAGCAGTGCCCTGCCAGCTTGTATCTTTATGGTCCCACACACAATGCATGATATCAAGGCTGTCCTTAGCAAAGCGAAGGGAGTACCTTTTTAATCAAACGTATGGCTGTAATCTTTAAATAATATTGAACTAATTTGAAGGGAAAATAACTTAAGCAAACTCAACAGCAGGTTTATCCACTGTTGGCGGGTTGCCATACTGTATGCCAGCCAAGCTCACTCTAGCTCTCCTTAATTGTAGTTGGCCTCCTTTATCTGAGGAACTGACAGATTTCTCCGATGCTATCACACCTCGTAATGTCAGCAAGTATCTACGACCTAAACAGGGGTCTTTAAAAGGATTGAAACCTAGCGTTAATCTCTCCTGGCTCATTGACAGCCTCTCCTAAGGGTTTAGCTGTGCCAACATTGACCATGGCCACTTCTGCTCTCTTCCTTTAAAACCTTGTTTCCATTTTTATCTCCTGCGTCACAACACCGTATGCTACGCTTTGAAGGCAAAGGTTAACTGGCTCAGTCAAATATTGAACTGATATTTGAGTTTATTCTAGGACTGTTATGTCTTCTTTCCTTTATTGCAACTACTGAGGTCCATGGTGGAAAGATTTTACTTCACGGTTCTTATTATTTACTTTTTTGAACCACAGTAATAATACCTCTTCTTACCACTAACTGCAGCACCTCCTAGAGGCAATGGAATGAAAGGATCATTGCCATGCAATTGACAACCAGAGGCACAGGAGTTCCACCCCAGTCTTAGCCTGGGAGACGATTTTGTCTAAAAAATGCAAGACTGTGTAGAATTGAGGAAAATCCCTAAATTCAGTAGTAATTTGGAAGCCAATTTTCTGCCATTCATAATTTTTCTTTCTCCCCAAATCAGAACTCAGACGTTCCACAATTCTACGCAATCTTCAATTATGAGACAACATGGTCTTACAGGCTAAGAGCACAAGGAATTTCAGGCCTCTCACCTTTAACCACCAAGAAGTAACCATACATTATGGAGGCCTGCAGAGTAGTGGTTAGAGCACTCGCCTCGCAAGTGAGAGGATCCAGATTTGATTCCCGGGTGGGGTGAAATCTTAAGCAAGTTTTCTTACTCCACGCCTCTCTGTTTACCTAGCAGTAAACCCAGTTGTTAGTCGATTGTGTATTTTGTGAGCTCACTGTGTGGTGACTATTTTGTAGGGAGAAGTATGCCTTGCTACAAAAAATTGACCATACACACCCCCCACCCCCGTGACTGGCTGACTCTCTCTCTGTTCTGATTACTTACCAACCAATGGACTGGAACTCACCTTATTGGATGCCGCAAACCCAAATGCTTGCCTCTCACAGCTCTGAAGCTGTTTGATCTTAATCACCTGCCCGTTATCCATTTTATAAGCAACTTTACAGGTCCCCGACACATCGGTCTGAGAAAGAACAGGCAGTAGTATGTTTTAGATGGTTTGCTTCATTGAATGCCCTATGCACCACATCTGAAACACTCCTAACTTTCACAGAATTAAAGACACCAGAGGTGGAGAGACAGTTAGACAACATTTGAAGAGTTCAAGAAAAAGGAAAAGAAAAATGAGTTTAAGAATAACTTTGGCCCATCTTTTTGGGGTCAGCCGGGTGTCTGACACATGCGGAAATACATCCGATGCTTAAGAGTATCCAAACCAAGCTGAGATTTCCATTCCAGATAGATTGTTGGAATGGAATATGTACTCTCTCCCTGGAGGGATACATCCTGCTTTTAAATGGTCCAATTCTCCTTTTTGATCGTGCTTACGGTCACCTCAAACCTTCCACTCCCCCTGGCTCAGAGTCAGACTCTGCCACTGTTAAGCGCTCCGGGATGCTATCTGGCGTGAAGGGTGCTATATAAATGCAAGTTGCTGTTGTTGCTGCTTACCTAGTTCTGAAAATTATTAGGCACAGGTTGGTAAGAACCAAGGTTTGGGGAACCCCATCGTGTGCATTGGGGTGACTGCTAGGGTCTAACCAATTAATCCTGCATAGCTTGCCATTGATATTTCTGTCTGGCAAGCTTTCTCGCTGCTTGTCCAGCTTGGACCACCCTAACCAATAAGGGTTTGGCTTGCAGGATTAACAGGAGCTGAGTGGGATGACTCCCTGCCCCCATTGACTGGTCTGCCCTTCCAGGTCCTGCCAATGAGCCAGGCTGTCATCAGCAGCGCCCTAGAATACTGCGGACTCGCCGGGCTTAGAAACCAGACTACCAAGACCACCACAGAGGGCTGACTCGATTCCGACAACCCATTACCAGGCATGTCACCTTGGAGCCAGTTCAGCTGCAGTGGTTAAAAATGCAGTGGGACCTCACAGTGTTTAAAACTGGTGCCATGTTTTCCTACAGAGAACAGTCACTACATTTGACAGTACTTACCACAAGACACTGAATTATTGATGTAATCATTTTTTTCTCGGTTTAATGCCATTAGAAGCACAAACGAATAAGTTCTTTCTATAACCACGAGGTGGCGGGCTTCCGTTTATTTTGACACTGGAAACAATGGAGTGGTGGGTGGGGGGGGTCTTCCTGGTCCAATGAGCTGGTCTCTGAACCAACTACTCTACTTGATGTCAATCCTTTCAGATGTATCGGCAGTGATTCAAGGCGAGAAGCAGCAGAGAAAATAAAGGAAGAATCTAAAATAAGTTTTTTTTAAAAACAAAATGGTGGATCATTTACCTCTGTGACGCTTCCAGAAATCGACTGTAGCTGAAAAAGACTAACTAGACCTCGCTTTAGGTTTAGGATTGATCTCTGACCTTCATCCGATCCATACAGAGCCTCGATCTGAAAGACAATGTGCGAGTCAGTGCATAGTCCTGTAGAGTACTGGTTAGACCACTCGAAGTTTCCTTACTTCACACGCCTCTGTTTATCTGGCAGTAAATAGGAACTGAGCTCACATCTGCCGGTTCAGGCATTGAAGGTCCGAAGGTACGATTCGAAAAGAGTAGGAAGTTTCTCTCTCCCGGTGTCCTGGCCAACAATCCCCCAAATAAAAATGGGTCATTCACGTCATGGCTGTTTGCAGGACATTATCGTACACAGATTAGCTGCTAAATTCACCTACAAAATACACAGGTTGCTACACTTTATGGTGAATCCCGTGAAGCACTCTGAGACAGCCTCCTGATGTGAAAGCTGCTACCAAATTCAAGGATTATTATTATGTATAAAGTGCCAGTCTATTCACAACTGGGGAGCTTGTCAGCATCCTTCCCATACAGGATACAGGTGATCCATCGATCCCCTCTAGCCTCCAACTTCTTTTTCTCTCTGTACCAGACTCTTTTTTGTTATTCTCTGGTTTATTAATGCTACCACGATTACTGTCCTCCCAAACATGTCCTACATCCTCTCCCACCTCCCTATGTAATGAGCTGGGCCAACAGTAAAGTGCGGGAGCAATTTTTCCACAGAATCCGCGAAAAAAAGCACCCTCCTCTATAAATCTGTAAAAATGAAGTTTTCTCAGCACCGGGGGTCTCGTGCTGTTTACTCAACGCTACTGTAGGGGGGTGATCGGCTGCAGATGCGCGATGCAGCGTGAGTGGGAAATGGGTTTTCATTCCATTCTGAGGCCCTCTGTTGAGATTGTCTGTGTGTCTCGCTCTCCGTATGTGTGTTTATGAGTGTGTGTGTGTCTCTGTATGTGAGTCTCTGTCTGAGTGTGTGTCTCTCTCTCTCTGGATCTCTGTGGCCGTGTGTGGTGGCAAGCTTTGAGAGGCAGGTGACCTCCTGTTGCCCCGCAGTCAGGACACTGGCAAGCTTGGCGAGCAATGCTATGTTTTTTTGCAGATCTCCGGCCTTCGGGCCTGTGTTGGTGTATACTTTGTGAGCGAAAAATGTTAAGGGGGTTATTGTGGTAAAGTTTATGAATGAGATTACCTTTCCTGAATTCCAGTGAAAGATTACAGGCCTCTTTAGGGCTGCTGCATTTGTAGGTCCCAACAAAGCCTCCACCTGAGTCTGCCTGAAGATGTTCTGACTCTCCTGGCGTTCTGACACATTCAACAGTTGCACTGCTTCCACCTGAAGGAAGGAAGAACAGGAGGTTAGAAATTCATCGATGGCACAGGGTCTAACTTGTAGTACGTCGCAACAAGGAATCAAGAGTAACTTGCAAACTGAGCGGTCCTTTGAAAACAATGTTATAATAATCATAATAATCCTTGCATTTGATACAGCGTCTTATCGCATCATTAAGACGTCCCAAAGTGCTTCAGAGAATATGTTGTAAAGTATATTGACTGTATATTTTGTGGGTGAAACGCGGCAGCCAATTGCGTCCAGTGTCCCACAAACAGTAGTGGATTGACTGACCAAATTATTATTATGTTAAGACATTGTGAGAACGCCTCAAAGCATTTCACATCTAACTAAGAACCCGAGCTAAGCAGGATAGCTGGACAAGGGAGAAGGAAACTGAGGTCAAAAAGGTGAGTCTTAAGAGAAGCTTTAAAATGGAAAGGCAGGGGTTGAGGTGAATGGAGTTCCAGGGTGTGTATAGCAATGCCTTACAATCGTCCTCATCTGGCACATTGTTGCCCAGGTCATGGGAGAAACTCTCTTCTCTTTTGGAATAGTGGAATCTTTAACATCCATTTGAATAGGCAACCAGGACTTTGGTTTAATGACTCACCCGAAGGACAGCACCTCTAACAACGCAATGCTCCCCCATCACTGAAACTGAGACTTTTGAGTTCAGAGTTCTGATGTGGGGCTTGAACCCACAACCTTCTGACCCAGAGGCTGTCAGACTGACACTTAGTTCCTTTAGTCACAATGTAATTACAAGGTTTGACATATCCATGTCAGTGATGCACTTACTTGTAGTTGAATGAGCTGGTCTTGCTCATTGCTACTATTTTTCCAAACGACATGAAGCTGAACGATAGCATCAATCCTGAACCCTGATCCAGGCTGCGTTCCTGGATTGGATGCAGTCTCGAATAACAAATCCACAGTGTATTTATACTTAAACAGAGCACCGGCTTTGAATGCAGGAGACACATCTTGTGCTAAAAAGAAAAATAATAATAATACTTGCATTTGATATAGCGTCTCATCATGTCGATCAAATGTCTCAAAGCTCTTCACAGGATATACTGTAAAGTGAATTCACTGTGTATTTTGTGGGCAAAATGCAGCAGACAGTTTGCACACAGCAGTGTCCCACAAACAGCCATGACGTGAGTGACCAATTTTATTTTGGGGGATTATTGTTCAGAAGATCGGGAGAGAAACTCTCTTCTCTTTTTGAATAGTTTCTTTGGATCTTTAAAGTCCACCTGAACAGGCAGATGGGACCTTGGTGTCACATTTCATCTGAAGGACAAATGAAAGTGTTTTACTGCACACTGTATCCAAATATTTCACATAAATCTGATTTGGGATTATTTTCTTGGAATCTTTGGAACAAGAAGCATTTATAAATGTATCTAATGCAAGTTAAACAAAAGTACAGAATAATGTAATGTCCAGCATCTTCATGTCACCTTCATCCACTCACTGCTTTTTCATGCTGTGATAATGCCACAAGTATTCTTCTCTTGTGAATTACAGGCAACCACATTGTTCAGTGTCTCAATAGAGTGCAGGTTCACTTTGGGCACAGCTACCCTCTGGGCACGCGGTTACTGGGAGCACAGTACACCTCCACCATCCAGTCAGGACTAACAATAAATTACCGTTGTACACTGCCTTTTAATGTCAAAAGGACGTCCCAAGGTGTTGGACAGTTAAGGGTTTTACATCTCAGCTGGGGGTTGGGATCAGGAGGGTTGGAGGATAGGGATGCTGGAGGTGGGAATGTGATCAAAGGCACGGTCAAAGAGGAAGGTCTTCAGACTGGGCTTGGAGGAGGCAAGGGAGGGAGTGAGGCGGAGGGATTCAGAGATGGAGTTCCAGAGGTGGTGGCAGAAAAGCTGAAGGCCCATCCACCAATGGTGGGGCAGGCAGGGTGGAGGACATGGAGCAGACCAGAGGGAGCGAACAGGGTCTTACACAGCAGGAGGTCAGCTCAAAGCGCTTCACAGGATTTACTATGAAGAGTGGTTATTTTGTAAAAAAAAACAAGCCTGCCAATTTGCACACAGCAATGTCCTACAAACCAAGCCATAAAGTAAATGACCAATTTTATCTGTGGGATTGTTGGCCAGGACACCGGGAGAAAGTTCCCTTCTCCTTTGGAACAGTGCCGTGCGATCTTTTTTCATCCACCTGAATAGACAAGACAGGACGTCAGTTAAACGTCTCATCCAAAAGACTGCGACTCTGACAACTGTGCGCCGTTGGCTACCACAGCAAAATGCACAGTCAATCCACCTTACCATGTATACGGAGCAGTGCTTTCAGGCGTGATAAGGCTCTATATCAAATGCAAGGGATATTCTTACTAACATTATTATCGTTATTAATGCAGCGTTCCCCCACCAAGTTCTAACATGGGGCTTGAACCCACAACCTTCTGTCCCAGAAGCCAGAATGCTACAATAACCAACTGAGTCAGGCGGACTATTACATGCGAATCTCTTAAACTGCTCTCTGTTCCTTGTGTGGAAACAGCATCCCCCCCCCCCCCAAACCCCCCCCAAAAAAAAACACATTTATTTCCCAGCCTTATTTGTTCCCGTGTCTCTCTTAAACAACGTCTCGGCTTCTGGTTAAGTACTCCAGACAAGTTTAACTAAACTGCAGGCCAGAAAGGGGAAGAAGGAAGTCAAAGAGAGTTTCACTATTCTTCAAAGAAGCTGTCAAACTCCACACTGGGGCAATGGGAGAGAGTGGACAGACAGACAGACAGACAGACAGACAGGGTGCAGCTGGCAAATAGCAATGGCAAATGGCAATGGCAAAGCACAAAAGGAAAGTGAACACACAAAAGAAAACGAGTCAAAGATGCTCAGCAGTTTGCACAGGACCTTCTCGCGTGTGAACTGAGCGGCTCTGCAATCCAAGTCGCATCTATCTCACTGCGCAAAATAAGCCAAAGCGAAACTCTTTACCTCCAGCAAAGCAGCACAAGGGGATCAGCATCTCAACCAGGATCACATTCCTGATCACTTTCGAGTCGCCCATGATCTTTTCTCTGGAAAATCCTCTGCTTTACGTGGTGGGGAGAGGGGTGGGAGGCGCTGGAAGGAAACTGAACCAGACCACAAGCTGCAGCTGGAGGGAGTTCCAACCAAAGCAGAGAAAGGAAGAAACGAATGTGACCAAAACTTCCTGTTTAAAAAAAAAGTGCTTTTTTTTTGTGGAAATAACGTCGCAGAGAAGGGGAAGGCGTGTTGTTGTTGTGCAGTCTTTTTTTTTCTCTTTTTTCTCTCTCTCTCACGTTGTCTGCAGTGAGAGAGGATTTGCCTGTTAAGTGTGTGTGTGTGTGTGTGTGTGCAATGTATGTGGGTCAGGGTCTGTGAACCCTCAAGAGATCAAACATGGCACAGTACTTTCAACCCATTGCAAAATAACAGCCAGCATAGCAGCTGACTGCTGACTGGCCCTCCTAACTCTCTGCAAACAACAAAAAAAGAGAGTTTTAAGTGCCTTCAAGTCGAACCTCTAACCGGACCAGAGTGACCGTTAAAAAAAAAACGATAATGCTCCTTGGCGTTTGATATAGCGTCTTATCACGTCGTGGAGACGTCTCAAGCGGTTTCACGGAATATGCCGTGAAGCGAATTGACTGCATATTTTGTCTGCGGGAACGTGGCAGCCAATTGCGTGCAGCAGTGTTCCGCAAACAGTGGTGGGTTTGAATGACCCACAGGGATAATAATCCCCGGAAAAAAATATGGTCACTCAATCCATGATTGTTTGTGGGACAATGTCGCCACGTTTCGCTCACAAAATGCACAGTAAATCTATTCAATGGTGTGATCAGGTTCTATATCGAAATCAAGGATTATTACTATTATTACATAGAGTACCAACTTACTTAGAATTGTACTGGTACAAGCCTGTACTCACCCTTACACATACGTGCACACTATCCATAGGAGAGTAATATGTTTTGCAATAGTTACTATATATACTGTATAACACAAATAATTTCCCTTTGAACACCCACAAATAAGTTTATACAAGCCTAGCAGGAAATGAGGGACTATTGTCTCTTTACCAATAAGCGACATGGGGTTTCAGATATGCAACTGGGGTTAAAAGCATTAAGTGATGGAAAGCAAGTTTCATTGGTGCTATGTCAGAAAGAAAGAACTTGCATTTTTATGATACTTAAAGATGTTGAAATACCACATGCTGTTTGCAGTTCAATGTGTAAACAAACAATGTTGTTTACCAGCGTTCATCAGAAGTATTCTGACCCAGCATTGCAATGTCAAATCAACCCTGCAAAGCACTTAGTGTCTCAGAGATAGTTTGGGAACTTATCATAACAATCCTTGCATTTGATACAGTGCCTTATCATGTCAAGGAGATATCTCAAAGTGCTTCACAGAATAAACTGTAAAGTGGATCGACTGCATATTTTGTGGGCATTTGTCATAGATTGAGTGACCAAATTTTGTTTCTCTTTTGATGGGATTATTACCTCGGAAAGCGATACAGCAAACGACCAACAACCGGGTTCCTACTTACTGCTAGGTAAACAGAGGCATGTGAGTAAGGAAACTTGCATAAGGTTCTGCCCTGCCCAGGAATCAAACCCAGGTCCTCACGCTTGTAAGGTGAGCGCTCTAACTACAATGCTACAGGAAGTATTTAAGTTACTAAATGGAATTGAAAAGTGAGCTCAGAACAATACTTATAGATATACAGCAGCAAGAGAAGAGGGCTGCTCCATGTTGACAGGTTTAAGACAGATATCAGCAAGTATTCCTTTGCACAGAGGGTGGTGAACGCTGGAATGGGTTATCAGTAAGGTTGATAGAGGACAAGACACTGGGCTAATTTGACAACAGACCAACCCTGCAATGGTGGGCATTCTCAAAGGATATTATTAATAATAATTACATTTGATACAACTCCTTTCATGTCTAGAGCACGTCTCAATGTGCATCACAGGATTTAATGTGAAGTGGAGTGACTGTGTATTTGTAGACAAACATTTGTAGGCACACAGAAAAGTTCCACAAACAGCCAGGAAATGAATGAACAATTTTATTTACGGAGTTGTAGACCAGAACATCAGGAGAAACCCCTTTCTCTTTTCGAGCAGTGCAATGCAATGTTTAATGTTCACCTGGACAGGCAGACAGGACCAGATGAGATCAAATGGACTGAAGGGCTTTCTTCTGAACCTCTCTTGAATTGTCCCTGTCACTAGGAAAAAAATAGCAAAAGTAGTCTTGCGACTTCAGAATAAAGGCCTCCTGCAATGACTTTCTGAAGGTTCTAACTTTGGTGGTATACCTGACAAATACTGAATTGAATGAGTGAATTTAAGATCCGATATCACGAGGCACATTGCCAAGGGTCATCTTAACCAGAAAATCTACAATTCTGTCAAACAGGTTAGGCGATTCCAAAAGTTACAGATAACTTGTGCAAACATAATTTTCTAGCTACGTAAGCACAAGCTGCTTGCCGTTTCATATTAATGTGCCATCCTGAAAAAGTAAAATTACAAAGCAGAATTAGCACTGTACCAGTTTGTTGATAATAATATAATAATCCTTGCATTTGATATAGCGCTTTTCACGTCTTCTAGATGTCCACCATAGGAACAAGTAGGGTGCAGTCACCCACTTCAAGCTTGTTCAGCGATTTTATTAGACCCTTTAATCTCATTTAGAATCATAGAGCACAGAAGGAGGCCATTCAGACCTTTGTGCATGTGGCGGCTCTTTAAAAGAGCTATCCAACTCAACCCCTCCCCTGCTCTTACCCCATTTCCCCACAGTATTTACTGCAAAGTGTCATGACTATGGCAGCTAACGTAGCAGCTTAATTTGTGTACAATGATGTTCCACACACTGCCATTGAGTGAATTACTTTTTTTTTTAAATGGAGGATTGTTGGCAAAGACACCGAGAGAAACTCCCTTTTCTTTTTTGAATAATGTCATAGAGTCTTTAACACCCACGTGAACAAGCAGACACAAACTCGGTTTAATATCTCTTTTGAAGGACGGAACCTCCAGTAATGAGGCACTGTTCCACGGCACTTAATACATCAAAGTGTTGTGGAACAATTCACACAGTGAGTTCTTGGAAGTGTACTAAGAAGCTAACCAGTATCACAAATAGTGAGACGAATACTCGAATGGACCTTTATTTTTGTTGGTGGTGAATGGTTGGACAAAGGAGAGTTATTGGCTTGATAGAATTGGGAGCTTTTCTTGCTCTTCTGTGTAAGGTAGGTGCTTACAATAATCCTTATACTTGATATCACACCTTATCAGGTCAAAATGTCATATTAAACTGTGACTTCAAAGTCCCGACATGGGGCTTGAACCCATAAGCTTCTGACTCAGAGGTGAGAGTGTTACCAATTGAGCAAGGCATACAATAGTTACCCAGTATAACAGTAGCTAGTCCGGCATAAAATTAAATGACAACCAAAAGCATTTGATTTCCTTCATTGGGAAATCAAGTTTGTTAGTTTGTAGGAATTAGGTAAAATCCTTCCTTCACTTACACCTCAAGTATTGCAAATGAAACTCTACTGCCGTTTGATGCATTGTTGTATTTAATATTATTTTGCTTAGGTTTTTTTNAACGGTTGAGTTGGATCTCACGCTCATAAGGATCATAAGAGATTGGGATGAAGAAGGCTCATTTGCTCTCCTCTCCTTCCAGAATACCACCCTACCATCTCCATCAAACAGTTTCTTAAATGACTCACACCCTGGCTCCAACCAACCTTCCCGGTAACCCAATGGAGCAGTTCGATTTATCCTCTGTGTTGTGGCAAACATTACCGATGAACAATATAGGAACATAGAAATAGGAGTCGACATTCCACTTTCGAGCCTGTTCTGTCATTCTCCAAAATCATGGCTGCTCTGTAGCTCATACCCCTGATACCCTTACATAACAAATATCTATGCAGCTTAGTTTTGAAAATTTATTACATTTCTGCATGGGAAACACAAAAATATTGCTTATGTGGCCCGCGGACAGACAATGTCAACAACAATGACAAAAACAAATTTTATTTGCATAGCGCCTTTCACATCAGGAGGACTTCCCAAGGTGCTGGACAGTCGGAGATTTGGGCCCGAGCAGGGTGTTGGGATCAGGAGGGGTGGAGTACAGGAAGGGTAGAGTTAAGATGGTAAACGAAGGCGTGGTTGAAGAGGAGGGTCTTGAGACATGCCTTGAAGGAGGCAAGGAAGGGAGCAAGGCAAAGGGACTGTTGGATGGAGTTCCAAAGGGTGGAGGCAGAGAGGTTGAAGGCCCGACCACCGAGGGTGGGGTGGGATGGGCCGGACAGGAACACGGAGCACGCCGGAGCCCTTTAAGCAGAAGGAGCGGACAAGTTGATATGGAGTTAGCAGGTCACAGAAGTAGGAAGGAGCAAGCCATGAAGAGCTTTGAAGGCAAGGATTTTGAACTTTATCCGCTGGGAGATGGGGAACCAGGCAAGGATGGGGGTGATAGGGACTTGTAGCTTGGTGCGGGCCAATTTTATCTGGTCAGTCTAGATAAGGGCGGTTCAATTAGTCTGGTTTATAGGCCTAATCCGGCCCCTGGACAGATAACAACAACAACAAAAAAGCACTATCCAGTTGCTTTGGGTAGAAATTCCACTTGGATCTAGATTTGCTCTGTTAACATAGCATTCCAGAGTGCACAGAATTTGGCTAATTGTTGAAGTCAGTTTTAACTCTTATGTCAATTTCTGTAGTTTGTCAAAAGAAATTTACAGAAAACAGCTTCAAAACTAAAGTCCGCATTAAAGAATTTGGCAAATTCCTGATGTTATTAAATGATTATGTTAAAAGAGTAAATCGATACCCAAGTGAAATGCTTATCCAATTGTATTTGACATCATAAATGTTATCAATACAAATTCAACATTGCCTTAAACGTTTTTTTTTAAAATCAGCCATTAGTCACACAAGTGAACTGGATGGTTTTACTCGTCTCTGAAACATCCTAGTTATTGCCGGTGGTTTGGTTGGATTCGGTGATGTTCTGTGGTTCATTATTAAGGCGAGGAGACTCATTTCTATGGATCTGAAGAACTTCGGCAGTTCCTATGTGATCTAGAATGAAGCGTAAACTAATTCAGACAGAAAATAAGAGAATCCGTGTACATGTATGTATGTATGTAATAATAATAATCCGTTCAGTATATTGTAAAGTGAATTGACTGCATTTTGTGGGTGAAACGCAGGTGGGTGTGATGGTGGGTAGAGTGGAATTCCAAAGATTAGGGAACATAGTAGCTGAATGTGGGTATGCGTAGGTCTGTCTCCCTTTTAAATACCAATTTATTCTGCCTCTGAAGACTTTTAGAACAGATTAGGCTTAAAGCACAAAAAAAATATCAACCACTAGCCTCATCACATTTATGAAGGAGAATCACAGTATAACACTACTCATTTTGCAGGAGTAGTTTAAACTGTATAACGAGTTCCAAATACAGTATGGAACAAGTAGCATAATCAATTAAGGAATTTAGCTAATTATAGTTACTCAGAACTACAAGTGTCTGCAACAACATTTTTGTAGGAATGCTTCACAGTTGTGGGATTTGATATTGAGCAAGAAATGGGTTTGAGAGGTGACTGAAGTGTGATTGAAGAGATAGGTTTCAAGGTGGCATTTATTTTAAGATAAATACTGAGGGAGTGAGCCCTATAAACGAGACTAAGATGTATTGTTAGACTGAAGGCAGGTTTAACATATCTGATTGAATGTGTAGGAAACAACAGTAAAAAAATAAATAATCTGATATTAAACAGAAAAGAACAATTCTCACCCGGTTCCTCCTCTTCAATTCTTTCTGGCTTCTTTTTGAGGTAATAACTGGAAGATGTTATGCAAAACAGTAACTGGTAGGTTAACACTGTGGGCTTCAACACCCCAAGCGCTGCATTCAATACATGGATTATATTCATTGTATTCAGAGAAATATTGATAGATTCCCTGGACAAAACTGCATTGCTGCTCTGGATTTTAAGGTCTATGGAAGAACGGCTTCCAAATTAAACGGGCTGAAGTTTGAAAGAATTTTTCAAAATTCTGCACATTATTAAACCTTAAGACAATGTTGAATTGTCGGCCAGGGCACCAGGAGAAACTCCCTTCTCTTTCAAATAGTGCTGCGGGATCTTTATCGTCCACCTGAACAGGTGGTTGAACATCTCACCCGAGGGACGGCACCTCTGACAACACAGCTCTCCTCCCCAGCTCTGCACTGGAGCGTCAGTCTGTGCAATACTGAAATGGGGCTTGATCTCAAAACCTTCTGACTCAGAGGTGAGTGTGTTACCAATTGAGCCAGGCTCGCATCACACACAACCCATCCCCACCCTTGCATTCTACAAGGTAGGATCGCATTAACATATTGCGTCATTTCATGAAATCATACCCATCGTGTTTATTCCGATTGATGTTGCACGTTTTATGCTCTGGGGCCAAAGGGTTGCAATTCATCTGGGAATTGAGCCTCACTTCTGCTCTGTCTGTGATGTGCTGGTAGTCATGGAGACTGTTTGCCAGAGTAGATTGCACCATCCCTAATACAAAATCTTTCTCTGTAAGTAAATGGTGCACATACATCACTGCTTGTAGTCTAAATCTATCTGAATGTATAAATGTTCATATCACGAGTGAATATACAAAACATGATCAGTGTTGAAAGGGTCTGTTTCTGCCCAGACTCCCAGTGATTCCAAATCAGGTGCAGTGACTATATTTTTGTAGGTGAATATAATAATCCTTGCATTTAATATTTTCTAGGTGAAAATGACCTGTTATATTTGCCTACAAAATACAGACAGTTCACTTTACAGTATACCCTGCGAAGTAAAAGGCACTATATCAAATAAGGAAATATTAAGGATTATTATTTATAGTGCCTCCACCCCTTTCTTCAAAGGATTTACGTTAGAGTGCAGCGATTGTGTACTTTACAGGTGAACTGCAAGCCATGCAGACTGACCCCGAGTCAGCAACAACAAATTACATTTGTATAGTGCAATTTCAGGTCAGGAGGACGTCCCAAACTGCTGGACAGTCAAGGATTTGGACTCAAGTTGGGGGTTGAGATCGGGTGGAGAGAGTCTGTGCAAGGCAGAGTTGGCAACACGGCAACTAGGCTTGACATCTTTTGGCTGCAGTGGAAAGGGGGAAAACATAGGAACAGGAGTAGGCCCTTAAGCCTGTTCCTCCATTCTGTTAGATTATGGCTGATCTGTATCTCAACTCCAATTACTAATCCAGTAATTGGGGAAAAAACTAATCCAGCTGGTTGCCTGCTACTGATAACATGAGGACAGGACCGGGCTTGCCTGTGATACATCAATAAAAACTCAAAGCCTCGCCTCGGGCAGCCCTGACACCAAGCCAGTTTCCTATTGTCTATTCCTCGTCTCTGGATGTTAAGCATTCATCAGCACCACAGACAGGACACAAAGGTCTTTCTTGTTTGCCATCCCACAGTAACCATGGAACGCAAAATTCACTTGCCTAAAATCAGAGCATTTGGTTTTGGTCAGCCGGATGTCTGATTTATGCAGAAACCCATCACCGTGCTTCAGAGTATCCAAACCAGACAAAATTGCACATATGTATTCCACCTACACATGGAAATTTCCCTGGACCCACCTCTTTGAGCTGAGGAGAGCAGCCACTGTTGAACAGCAGAGAGCGAGTCCGTCTGCAGAAGTTGGCAGAGTAGATCCAGCACCTATAAAACGATAACACATCAGAAACATCAAGATTTCAGGATACCTGCACCATATCCACACACGTTATGATTACAACCAGCTGCTGGAAAACAGACGTTGTCTACTACACACGTGGCTCAAGTGAGCAGCCAAACATCACGTGGTAATGCAGGTTTGTTAATAATAATAATAATCCTTGTATTTGATATACTGAACATAAGCTATCACAAATGCAAGGATTATTATTATTACTTTGTTGAGATGTCTCAAAGCGCTTCACAGAATATATTGTGTTCATCTTGAGGGTGAACCCCAGCAGCCATTTGCGCACAGCAATGTCCCACGAGCATTCATGCATTGAGCGACCACATTTTTTTTGTGGGAATATTACCATCAGGATGCGATCTACCAATCGACTACCTGCCAAGTAATCAGAGGCATGCGGAATAAGGAAACGTGTCTAAGGTTTCACCCCACCTAAAAAACAAACCCGGGTCCTCTCGCTTGGAAGGCGAGCTCGCTAACCACTACGCTATGGGAATCCTTTTCATTTGTGCATTTGAGTTGCGGAAACAAATGAAACTTTGTTTTGATCTTTTACAAATAAACTTTTCACCAGCAGCTCCTGATCCTGGAAGGGGCTGGTGTATTTATTCTTGTTCCCAGCATGGTGTTTGGAAGCTCGGCAGCAGGCCTGGCCGGTACCAGTACGAGAGGAGGGTGGGATGAGCCTCCCAGTCTGTGCGGAGTATTGTGTGGATCTTCTGACCTCTGGCTGTCAAAATACAAAAACAATTCCTACTTTTGCAGCAGATAGGAACATAGGAAGAAACCATTCAGCCCCTTGAGCATATTCCAGCATTCAATAGATAATAATAATACTTTATAACAACATTGAGATGTCTCAAAATGCATCACAGAATATACTGAAGCTGTGTAATTTGCGGGTGAAACATGGCAGCCAATGGCACACAGCAATATCCCACATAGAATTGTGAATTGAGTGACCAAATTATTTTTTATTTTATTTTTTGAAGGGATTATTTAAACTATTAAACACCAAGAGTTGGATTTCAAAGTCCCAAGTGGGCTTGAGCCAATAACCTTGGAATATAATATTCACAAAGTTAGAATTCTCCTAACTGAAGGCTTTACTGACCTCCTTTATCTCCTCTGTCTCTTTCGGTATAAGGAGACAAGCCTTAGAGGCAAAGTCCCGTAGCTCCTCTCTCCAGGCTTCTGACAGCAGAGTTTACAAAACAAAACATTTTGATTAAAAAGATGATGAAACTACTCACATTTAATAGAGACACAAGGTACTTAATTTCATCAAGACACTTCAGAAGATTTACTTCAAAGCGTGGCGACTGTATTTTTTTGGCAGACTTTTTGTACAAACTTGGCAGACAATTTGCACGCAGCAATGTCCCACAAATAACCATGAAGTGAACCTCTAATTTTATCTGGGGGATTGTTGGCCAGGATACCTGGAGAATTCCCTTTAAACGCCCACCTGAACAGGGATATGGGACCCAAGTTCAACATCTCACCCGAAGGACGACACCTCCACCTCCAAAAATTCCCCAGCTTAAGTGCCAGCTTAGACTGAGCATGTCCCAATGTGAGGCTTGAACCCACAACGTTCTGACTCAGAGACAAGAGTGCTACTGACTGAACCAGGGTGCAACCTTCTCAATCTAAATAGAAGCGCATACCAAGATCACATTTAACTGCATTGTAACAAAAAGGTACAGACCCGTAGCAAACATAGGGGCTCTGCCGTCACTCATGCCGTTACGCTGGAAAATGCTGATGGGGAGTCGGGTACCAGGCATGCCCAAGACAGTGGTGGTGAGCTGCCTCTTTATCAACGGGTGAGGAGAGAGTGGAGCATTGACATACCAGTCATCATTCACCGTGCAAACGGGCATCCCATTTAACCCTGGGAGAGGGGAAGAGAACAAACATTGCTGGAGTCTTATAATAATAATCATCATCACTGCATTTGATATCATGTCTTATCATGTCATTGAGATGTCTCAAACGCTTCACAGAATATATTGTAAAGTGAATTGACTGTATATTTTTGGGATGAAACGCAGCAGCCAATTGCATATAGCTGTGTCCCACAAACAGTTATGGATTGAGTGACCAAATTATTGCTATTGTTATTTGTTTTTTTAAGGGATTATTACTCCCAGTAAGTGATCTGCCAATCAACTAACAACTGGATTCCTACTTACTGCTAAGTAAAGAGAGGCGGGAGGAGTATGGAAACTTGCCTAAGGTTTCGAGCTGCCCGGGAATCAATCTGCGTCCTCTTGTTTGAAAGGCAAGTGCTCTAACCGATACATTAGAGGACTCCACTTATTCATATCAAAACAAACACCCCTCTGATTTTATATCCAGATATAAATATATAAAGTTCTGTGCTCATCCCAATGAGGGATATCAGGTTTAGGCAGTATTGGATTAACAATGGACTGGCTAGATGGGAAATGGGAACATATCCCGAGGCCCCCCTTAATCGGCAGGTAAGACCTCACATTGTAAAATAAATTTAGGTAAAGCATCTTAATACACTTTATTATACTGCCTCAGTTTGGAAATAAAATAGCTTCGCCCAGCACTATATCATACATTACATGTGGTCCTGACCACAGTACATTTAAGCAGAAGTTTCTTTGTGCTATGAAGTCATGTACCATTGCTTTGTTGAGTGATTCCATGAATTACAATAACTGAAAATCAACTTTAATCTGATAAGCTGATACAATATTGGATTGTGTTCAACTCTTTAATGGATGTGAATACAACCACCTGGCAGTCACTGGCGCTAAAATAATGCGCTTGAGTTAATTTGACATCTTCAGGCTCAATTTATTTGAGTGTGAAAGATTATCTGATATCCTCCTTCTCTCAGTTCATCAAACTTTAACAGAAGGAAGCATTGAGTGAGTTTTTGTCTCTGTACATTTATGATACTGTACCCATATGGTTAGTATTGTAATTGTGATCATTTAACACACATTTGGTTGCCATTTGAGCAAAATGTTTGACAAATACAACACAGGCATGAAAGGTAAAAGTCCATACGCGGGAGAGGAGCAAAATGAAGACAAGAGCAGAGATGCACTGTTTAGTTAATGTAAAGCTACCAAATTTGGATTTCAAAAGCTTGCAGAGCATAAGAGTCAGGTAAAATTGAAGGAGTTAGTTTCAAAATCACAATTTGAAATAATACTGAAGCCTCATTCTTAGCCAGTAATGAACAGAAGGATATTTGATTTATAGAATAATAATCCTATTTCTTATAGTGCTTTTCACATTGGGACAACATATCAAAGCGTTTCACAGGATATACTGTAAAGTGGAGTAACTGTATTTTGCAGGCAAATCAAGTAGCTAATTTGCACACAGACAGCCATGGAATTACCAATTTTATTTGGTAACGTGGCGAGATTTTTAACATCCACTCAAACAGGCAGATGGTTAACATCTCATCCAAAGACTGCACCTCCAACAATGTAGTGCTCCACCAGCACTATATTGGACTAGGAGTTCCAAGTCCCAAAGGGGGAGCTTCAACCAGCAATCTTCTGACTTAGAGGCAAGAGTGCTACCAGCTGACACCATTTAGCAGTGGAGTGAAAGAGCGATCATTTTTAGAAAGCAGCTTCAGCACCATTGCAACCAAATAAAGAATTGCCACTGAATGATATGCCAATTGGATTCACAAAGGAAATCACCCACTCCCTTCCTGTTAATCCTGCAAGCGAAAGCCCTAAGGTAGGTAGGGTGGTCCTAGCTGGACAAGCAGTGGGAAAGCTTATCAGCCAGCGATATCAATGCCAAGCTACAAGGTTTTAGCTGATTCGACACCAGCAATTACCCCATGCACACTTCGGGGTCTCCAAGCCTTGGCTCTTGCCACCCTGTGCCTAATACTTTCCAGAATTAGATAAGCAGGATGCGTCCCTCCAGGGATTACGCATTCCAGTCCAACAATCTCTCTGTCTCCAGTGGGATGCATGGAACTCTCAGTTTGGTTTGGATACTCTTAAGCATGGTGATGGGTTTCCACACGTGTCAAACAACCAGCTGACCCAAAAAAAAAAAATTGGGGCTCACCATTGATGTGCGTCACTCTCTGAGGATGAGGGTTGTGTCTGGAGAAGAATGAATGGTGGCTTAGCACTCCAAACCGGGAAGTGCTCTTAGACTGTGGTCTCTCAGCTTCGGCACTGGAGCGGAGTGGTGAGTTCAGAGTCACAGTGCCAGGTTTCCTGGTGGGCCTGAACTTGAATGGGTAAGTGACTGGCCGCCCCAACCTTTCCATGGTTTCCTTCACTGAGGTCCTCTCAGCACTGCACTTTCAGAGGGACACAGAGGATCAACAGCAACTAGTTTGACAAGGGCAGAGAGACAACTTCTGACAAGGAAGGTATTAACTCTCCACATTGAAAGTTTAAAGATTTGATTGGAAACATTAACCGTTCAGAATTTATTATGAATAAATGATAATTTCATTTGATATAGCACCTTATCGCATTGCTAAGACGTCTCAAAGCACTTCACAGAAGATACTGTAAAGTGAATTGTCTGTATATTTTGTGGGTGAAACGCGGCAGCCAATTGCGCACAGCAGCGTCCCACAAACTTTCATGGATTGAGTAAACAAATTATTGTTATTTTATGGAAGGGATTATTATCCGGATAGCAAATTGCCAATCAATTAACAACCGGCTTCCTACTTCATGCTAGGAAATTAGAAGCGTGTAGAGTTAGGAAATAAGTCTAAGGTTTAAACGTTCACCTGAACAGGCAGACAGGACCTCAATTTAACGTCTCATTCAAAGGACGGCACTGCCAACAATGCAGTGTTCCCTCAGCACCGTACTAGACATCAGCCCAGACTAGCAGCTGACAAACAATGTTGGACAAAGAGAACAACATTTCAATATTAAACCTATTCAATGAAACCACAACCATGCAAACATTACTCTTCCAGCTGCCATTGATTTCATAAGCCTGTTTCCACAAATCATCTCGTTCTTGTTGGGGAAAATTAACTATTAAACTAAAATAACGTAAAGTTCTGTACTTATTTCAATAGGTTAGCACATCACTCTTTCTGGAGACTTTCAGGAGCTTAGTAAGACTCATTTGACATTTTGGATTGGATGAAGAATAGTCAAGTATGGAGTTGCCATTTCATCTGGATTTGTTCTAATATTTAATTGGCTCTTTGGGCTTTCTGAATCCTAGTTCCAATCAATAGACTTGCAACTCTTGGTGATGTATCTGTTAATACTACGAACCCAGCCAACAGCCAGTCTGCAGTCAGGGAAAAAGAAGATAGAACATTCATGTTGTGCAATGAAAGATAATACCAGGCCACTGAACGCAATTCCCTGGAACAAAATTACATGCATGGCAGAACATAGTGCACAATATGCGGTCTGGGAGTAAACAGCTTGCAAGCAAAGATGTTTCCATTTCAAACAACTCTAAGGGTGGTTTCCTATGAACATAGTTCATGATAATCAGACTTCGAAAAATGTATTAAACCACCTTAATTTAGAAGTTAATGGCATGAGTGTTGTGTTATTTTCTTAATACAACAATAACTTGCATTTATATAGCACCCTTTACACAGGTAGCATCTTGCAGCACTTGACAACAGTGTAGCTTGATGCCGAGCAAGAAAGGAAACTGGGGGTGACCAAAGGCACGGTAGAAAAGGCAAGTCTTCAGGTGTCATTTGAAGTCTGGCAAAGGGGGCCAGATGGAGGGATTGAGGCAAAGAGTTCCAGAGATTCGGGGCATGGAGGCTGAAAGCACAGCCACGAATTGTGGAGCGAAGGGAATGAGGAGATGGCGGAGGAGTAGGGTATAATTATTTAATTAATTAATTAATTAAGATATTTGATAGATGATGATGCAGACTCAGAAACTCTGCTGCACCTTGATCAACTTTCAGAGTGGAATTCCCTTTATTTGTAAAACTAAATTAATATCAGTTCAGACCACATAGCAGTCAACCAGCAAATTGCCTTATTTCCTGACAATTTTGGAAATTATCTCACTTTACTTCAAATAGCTATTAATTTCCATTTGATGCTCTCCAAGCAATATTAGAAAGCAGCCCCATCAGGGAATCAGGGAAGATTTGTCATACAGACACATATTAAAAGCATCTAACATTCTTCTATGTTCATTAAATATCAATTAAGTTTTTTAAAAAAAACTATTGCTTCCCTTTTATTGTATATATCTAGAGTACGTTTCATTCCAGTCCAAGTGCAATAAGTAAAACATAAAAATAATTATAATTTAGCAAGCCCTGCAGTATCCTCTTTGCAAGTTGTTTAAAGACCTCAGAGAGTATCTGCTATTGATGCTGATACTTTATTTAAGAAAGAACCCACTAGGTCAGAATTACGTTTCATTTCTAACATGGAACATGAAGCATAAAAGCAGTTTGCTGCTTTGAAAAAGGAAATCAAAGCACTCTTATTGGTAAATGTCAAATCTCAGTAACTCACCATTTCCATCCGCAACTTGAAGACTATTTCAGACAGAATTGATCTTACTCTCAGGCCGTTTGTTTGCTTTGAGGCAGATTCTAGTTGCGGTTGCTAGGAAACACTAATCTGAAAGCATAATGAGCAGTCACCTTACAGGACACAAATACTAAACAGTCTTAAGGCCACCACTTGTCAGATTCTTATTTCATGCCCCATTTGGAAGCCAATCTTTTTCAATTGAAACGTCCTCTACAATGCTTTCAAATCTCTCTGGTGAATGAAATCTTTTGTTGAGCAAAACAAGTAGTGAGCTAGCATTGGGCTGCACATCCGTGTCTATCTATAAAACATGCCATAGGACTATCTTTTGGAGGGATGAACTGTTGCTTTCTGTCTACACTCCAGTGCTTCTTGTGTGCAAACTCAAGACAAAGGTCTCAGCCTGGCTCAGTTGGTAGCCCTCTCACCTCCAAGTCAGAAAGTTGTGGTCTCAAGCCTCACGTTGGGACATTCATCTCATAGTCTTGGCTGATACTCCAAGGTTTTGCTGGAAGAAGCACTGCAGTGTCAATGGTGTACGAGTGTTTAAACTGAGATTCCCATATACTCGTTCAAATTAACACATCAATGCATTTAACAGGAGACTGGATAGATACATGAGAGATGATTATTATTATTAGATGAAAATAGAGGCTAAGGAGGGTGGCTCGTGGGGGGTATAAATAGCAGCATACACTAATTTGGATAAATGGCTCGTTTCAGCACTGTAGATTTTATGCAGTTGTGGTAAACATGGTTTGGAATGGATGTTGCCAAAACTTCACCAAAATGCAGCTATAGTAATGATTCAGAACTCAAAATCCCCATGTAAATGTACCCAGTTAGAATCTCAAAGCCTTTTCTGCTTTTTGGCAATGAAAAACCATGCAGTGGGCATTATGATTTTTTTTACACTCCTGTTAATATTCCTTCGTACTGTTAATTTAATTATTTCTTTATTATTTGGTTAGTTACCGTCAGCAGCTTTAATATTTAATGCTGGTGTAAGCTTATATCCCTAATATATGCATCATAAAAGTAGTGTCATTATAGAGAACATATGCAGACCTTTAAGAAGTTAATTTTGGTTTCTACTTTGAAATTCCAGAACCTAACCTCAAATAAAAATGAACTCACCCATTCCCTTGTGGAGCACAGTGTGCAGCCATCATCAATCTTGGCCTTCTCAGTTGAGAGATTTGTTTCATTAACAATTGAACACATCTAATGTCTTTCCCTCCATTACCTCAGTTGGTAGGTTGGACACATTTATAATGGAACAAACGCAGAAGTGAAGCTCGAGTGGTGTTCAAAGAGGACTGGCTTCAGCTTTGGTCCTTTCTGTATTTACCAAGTCACCAAACTCAGTTTTTACACCACTACAACAACAACAAGATTCCATTTATAAAGCGCCTTTCACGTCAGGAGGACGTCCCAAGGCGCTGAAAGCAATCAGCTTGTACAGCCCAGGCTTCAAAAATCAATCAATTGCCATGTGGTCCCAGAATTGATGGTTTACATATTTAGAAGCATCAATATTGGTGAATCAGATTGGGTTACAGGAAGATACAAAATACTTATTACTTCAATCTGTCCTGATTAGGAGTTTCATTTCAACAAATTGGGTACATGAAAATCATAGTTTTAGCACACAAAAATCAGACTGCACATCAGGAGTAGTGTACATACACACATGTCACTGAATAAACAAACCTCATCTAGGTCATGTTCTACTTTATGGAAGTTAAACATTGATAGTTGGAACAGAAGAGTATTGTGATTCTTTCTGAAAAAGGATTAACTCTATTTTTAGGGACAGGAGTTAAAGATATTACTTAACACGTTCATCTTTATCAGCACAAGGGACACTGCATCTTATCCTGCTATTTCTACAGCTACTATTTATTGAGGTGAGGGGGTGGTGGTGAATCCGTTCTTTCCACATGCAAATTTGACAAGTGGCAGTGGTATAAAGCATTGATAGTAGTCAATTCAATACTGTGTTTAATCTAGTTCCATAAACAGCCCTTGTATAAAAAGTCTTTAAAAAGTTGATCATATACATTGATATTCCAGACAGTACATTTCAGCATCATTCTAAACACATTCCACAAAATAAACTAATCTGTACTCTCAGTAACCTTTAAGTTAGCAAAAAGTTTAGAAGTGAGATCTATCCCTTATACTGGATGGTTAAGTACATAATAAGAGAAGCAATAACTACTCTAGTAATGCATTGCTATCAGAGATTGATAGCCCTTCTATTGATGGCACCCTTCCAAGAATTAGTACATCCATCAACCATTTGTTCAGCATCTGAAATCAGAGTGTGTGCACTAGATGTCTAAATTAGATCTATGGCCAAATGACTCATAGGACTGTTGGTGCACAGAATAAGCAAAGTTTGGATAAAAGATCATATTAGTTGCCGGAGTAAAATTCCTTGAACGATGCATTAAATTGCTTAGCTTTGCATGTACCTTCAAGACATGTTTCAGTATAACAGGCTAGGGAGTACGATGCTCGGTTTGAGTGAGGATTCCAGAAGTGAAAGCATTTGCACAAATTACACAATTATTGACCATGCAAAATGTGTTTGTTCTCCATTCCCATCAGTTAGTGATTCCAAAAGAGACCCTAGACATCTAAATTGTTCAATACATTTTCCCTACATACACACACACAAAGAGAAGAATCAATCAAGTAATAAAACATTAATCTCAGGGCAAAGCTTGGACAGTCAAGTGATAACCTTTGCTACTAAGCTTGTGATGAATCTTTGGATATACTACACCAATAAAAGGTAGTGAAGAAAAAGCAGAGCGACAAAGAAAAAGCAGTGGTGCTAATAAAAAGGTCTGATCAATTCAGCACAAGATACGCTAGTCAAATGCAATTACACTAAATAGACTATGAATTCAGCCAGGAACAAGTGGAAGTGGTGACAATTTCAAAGAACAAGAAGAATTCAGCATTAGGCAGTAAAGTTTTGCTAGCCACTTCAAGTGTCATTGGCCACTTGTGTCATAATGCAGGGCAATTGGCTAACAACATAGAATTAATGAACACTAATCTTAATGCTCAACTCGTTTAGTTTTCACCACTGCTCAAGCTCTGAAATGATTGAAATTTAACACAGCGCAAACAATTGGACTGCTGCAGGCATGAAGCACAATAAAGCAGGATTCATACAATTTTGAGCGTCATACTTCAAGAATAGTTAAGTCAATCTTCGAGCTTGAATTCAAATGTCAGTCAATGCATGCAAGAACTGGTCAGAGTCTTCATTAAGCTTAAAGATCACTGGAGTGACTAGTCTTTTTGAAGCATTAAAACTTGATTGAAATAATTCCAAATCTGCAAATAGAAAAAAGTCACTATAACCAAGTTACTGTTTAACAGAAACCAAGCTATTATGATTGTAGAGATTAGAGCTAATGCATTAATGTCTAAGTAATAGGTTAAGAATAATGTGGTTACTTCTACCATCCAAACTTTAAGTCAGTGATAAACTACAGAATCAGTGTTGAACTATGTGAATGCATAGAGTCTTCAAGAGTGGTCGTCACTGAAGGTGAAAGGGGAAACGGCAAGTTGTTTTTTTTAATTCAAAGAATGCAACAGCTACACACAAGGATACAAATAGTGCTGTGTAGGGAGGAGTTATATATATGTAATTTTGTTGTTGTTGCCTGATAATTGATGAAAGTTTACTTACTATATATTCATACCAGAGCAACAGCAGTCTGTCATTTTAGGACTCCACTTTTTACATTTACAGAGGCTGCAACAACAAAAAAAGTTTTCTTAAAAGCACCTAGCATTTTAATCCTAAAAGAGTGTACATCTTTCAATGAAAGTAATTGAAACAAATGTCACACACACACACGTTGCAGGCTAATGAAAAAAGGGTATTTAGTAATCAGCAGAATGAAAATTTTTAGGTCTCAACTGGATTCAAAACCACTTTTTCCAGCTGCCAACTCACTTTATAATAATTGGATTGGATATACACCTTATGTTGTTGCTATGTCTCAAAGCTCTTCACAGAATATAATGTAAAGTGGATTGACTGAATTTTGTGGGAGAAACACGGCAGCCAATTGCACAAAACATGTCCCACAAACAGTCATGGATTGAGTGACCAATTTATAGGATTTATTTAATACTGGGGGAGATTAATAGTCTTGGAAAGTGATCTGGCAATCGACTAACAACTGGGTTCCTATTTACTGTTAAGTAAACAGAGGAGTGTGGAATAAGGAAACCTGTCTAAGGTTTTGCCCTGCCTGGGAGTTGAACCCGGGTCCTCTTGCTTGAGAAGTGAGCGGGTGAACCACTATGCTATGGGATTCCACATTTATCCATATATAAATGTTGGCTGATCGGACCTGCATGGCTTTTAGTAGTGCCTAGAAGGAGGCCCTCTGGAGCACATTATTTGGAAAAAACCTTCACAAACAACCTCACAAATTTTAAAGTTTAAATAGCTTCAAAGCAAGTTGACCACATAATCAAATTTGCAAAGCAATTCAAGCTCAAGGAAGATTGAATACTGTTCCATGATTCACTGCCGAAATCTATTGAGTTGAGCGATTAAAATTGCTGCACCAATACACTTGAGAACTTACTTTAGACAGAAGCAGACTGTAGCAGCCACACTGATAACCAAGACAGGAATCATAGCAAAGACTACGATTTTCTGTGTGTTTGGATCCTCAGACACTACAGCTAGGAGGTCAAAATACTGACACCTGCTGCCAACAAAGCCTCTTGAACATCTGCAATTGGAGAAATCAGAACATTTTGATGCAGAAACAATACTCAACATCTTAACCCACTTAAGTGAGGCAGTGTTATATAGTCAAAATGGGGACAAGTCACACTGTAATCATGAGTGAAGCCAGACCATAGCTAGTCCATCTGTACCCTGAACGCTATGCTGACTGTTCTTTATACATACAGCAGTAGGTAAGTCTGCTTACAAGTAGTATTTCTATATATGGTGTCAAATAGATCAACAACACTGACAAAATTCATCTACCAAACACACCTATGATCATCTCTCCCTTGCTCAACGCTCCAAAACGCGTTTTATGTGAACATCATAATATAAAATACAGGTTTTTGAAGCATCACACTGAGCTGGTAGAGATAATACTTACGTGCAAGATGCCAGGTGTTCAGAAATCAGAAGTTTACAGGAGCCATGTAAACAAAAGTCTGTGTAGAATTCCAGACAGTCCCCAAATGTCTCCTGAGCACTTGTGGCTACAGCTGGACAGACAAAAATAAAAAGATTCTCAACACAAAGTTTTGTTACAGTCAAAAATCCCTAGTCAGAAGTTTGTGTGTGTGGCCGGGTGTAGGTGGGTGGGTGGGTAAAGGAAAGTATGAATGTCAGAAATCAGTCAATCTGTGGCAGTCTTGGTAGTTTGGTTCCTGAACAAAGTCCTACAAACACCCATGAAGTGAATGACTTTAACTAATTGAAATTCTACAGAGCACAGAAAGTTCATTACTTTACTGGCCCCAAAATTCCACCCACCATCTTTGCCCACAAGACCACTGGATCTTAAGGTGACACAGAAGAGAGCTTTTTTTTAATAAAAAAACTTTTTAAAAAAGTGTCCACAGTTTGTTAAAAACACCAGCTTCAAATCTAAGTTTCCCACAATCTGCAATCTCAACACTTGGGAGACAAAATTTGAAGGTTGAGACTAAAGGTGGGGCTGAGGGTCTCAGGGAGGTTTGAAGTGACAAGTCTCTCTTACCTGAGAGAACTAGCAGCATTCCTAATATGTTCCTTGACCTGTAGCTAAGGCTAACATCCATCCTCACTGCTCAACAATGCTCTGGATCCTGCCAGCGAGAGAGAGAGAAAATAAAGTCCAAGTTTGAAGGCAAATTGGACAATGCTTGGACCCATGAGAAAGCACTTCACAAGTAGATAAATCTATCTAAATGAAGTCTAATTAGCCAACATTGAGATCCTACTGGATTTTAGCAACACACCAGCTCAGTGGAGCTGGGCTCCGCATTGTGAGGAAGACATGTCAAATTTCTTAGGCTCCAGATTACTGCAATCTAATATAATGTACATAGATGGCAAAAAAAATGGTATTTGATGCATACAATAGAAGAGCAACTCCACTGATTAAAGTATTGACTTGACTGATCATATATTTCTTCTGTTACCTCTACAAACGCACCAACAACTTCCACAGCTGAGAGCACTTTGATCTGGATTTTATATCGGAAATGACCACCCACTAGTTGAGGTGAGCACCTGTTGTTGCTCAGTTTCCCCCTAAATCCATTTGGATCAGTGATACCAGAAACCAGTTGAACATGCATAGGGTAGTGCCTTCTGTGTATTAAGTTCAGCTGGCTTTGTCGGATATTTAATGTGGCCTCACAATTCTTGTTTAATCTCAATTGTGTTCTTGCTTCATTCTTAACAGCATCTGTAAAAATGCATAAAAAAAGAACCTGCAGATTAAACTTGATTTTTTCTTTAATGTCCTTGTTGGTGAGCGTTACCTCCAAATGACTAGTTTCCTGAAACAAGGACTTGTACTAAAGTTTAGGAATTCACCGAAGGTACACAATGGTCATCAATTCATTGTGTGTAAAAAAAAACAAGGGTGGGTAACAGCATTTTGTGATCACTCTGTACATTTCTTCATGCAAACATTTCAGCTAATCTCATCCCAACATTGTCCAAATCTCCAGGAATTTCTATCCATTCCAATGGAGTACAGTTGTCAAAAGGAAAAATACTGTATTCTGCAAGTTTCTTTGCGCATTGTGGGGAGAAACCTAATGTTGTTATCCTGTTGGAATTATTTCTTTAAAACCTTTCCATTTTACAAACTGAGTTTCAACGGTTTGAACAACAAAAGGTCATTATAATTCCAATTTAATGTCCCATTGCAGAATTATGTTTCCTATTATATCCTAGCTGGACAAGCAGTGGGGGTGACTGATTTGATCCTAGGTTAAGACTATGCTGTACATAAAGCAGTTACTGTGTGACGCTTCATGTACAGTAGCAGATTGGGAAGCACTAGGCACCTCCTCCCTCCACCCAATTCGGCGTTAAGCATTCCAAGACACTGCCCCACATGAAGGGCGCTGTACAAATGCAAGTTGCTGTTATTTCTCTAAAGTTCTCACAAGCAGTGAAAGCGCCACTTAGCTTATTCATAAAGGTCAAGAGACAGGTGCATTTTGCGGAGTGACAATTTACTATCATTTAATGCAAAAAAAAAAGGCAAACTGTCTGAATTTCCAGGGATTAGCTTTTTGTAAAAAAAATGCCCCGCTAGCAAACTGGGATGTGATAGTGTAGCTCATCTTTATTCAACAATTTAGTCAAAGCTACAGCAAAGGACAGATGATTGTAACTGAAGGCCATACACTTGCCCAGGCTTGTAGCTTTGCTGGCAGATTAGACTTAATAAGTGTCACAAATTGTTTGTATAAGCCTGAGGATCATCTTTTGACTTGACCTGGCTGCAGGAGCAAGCAATCCACTGATTCCTTCAGCAGTCGTTTCCATTTCAGCCTTAATCAGATTTACCTTCTACAAGCTGCATCCTACTACTACTCTTTATAATCTGATAGGGCACCTATTCCAACTAAGTTTGTCAAAGTGCTTTGCAGGGAATTGCTCTCAAGTTGTAGCGGTTGTTCCTGTCGGCAAAACGACAGCCATTTTACACACAGCAACGTCTCACAAACAACTATGAGCGAAATGACCAATTATCCTTATTCAAATAGGTGCCATTGGATTTTAATGTCCACCTGAAACAGGCAGACAGCACCTCCCAACAATGCAGTGCTGTCCCAATGCTGTTCTGGAATGTTATCCAGTCTGCGTGTTTGGATTTTGGGGTCAGAACATATACCTTTTTGTTTGACCCAGAGATGAGAATGAGCCAAGATGACATCTGTTCCACCATTGTTCGGTGTCAGCGAGATCAGTGCATTTTGCAGTTGTGTTGTAATTTGCCCTTCTTGCAACAAACCTTGCAAACGCCATTTGCGGCACAGCCATAAAACAGTGGCTGGATCCTTAGAAAGTAGCAAATTTGCACACAGAATAATGCCCCACAAAGAGCCATGATTTGAATAACCAGTTTTTATGGGGGGATGATCTCCTCTGTCATCTCTGCCAATGCATTGGAATGTCAGCCAAGATGGGGACTGAATCCACAGCCTCGTCTCAGACACGTTCTAACACGGAGTCACTTAATAATAATAATCCTTGTATTTGACATAGCGCCTTATCACTTCACAGAAAATATTGTACATTTGGATTGAATCAAACCCAGCTCCTCTTGCTTGGGAGGTGAGTGCTCTAACCAATATGCTACCTTCAGTGCTTAGGACATAGCATTTGCAAGAGACAGGCTGCCTTATAAGCATACATTTTAGATCAATGGCATACCAATAATGTTATTTGAATACTACTGCAGTGTACGTGTAGACTCACTGTACATTCCAAGGAGCAAGAGTTATTGTGCTCTATAAGGCATAAACCCACACCTTGGGTGTCAGCAATATTTAATTGACTCATTGGTGCAACAATCTTAAAGAAAACACATGCAGACACATTCACAGTTGAATTAATTCCTTTTTAATTCAAGTGGCTGGAAAAAGTCTCCATTCATTTAATTCAGGTTTAGTTTTATGGAGTCAAGAGTCCGGTGGTTAGTCCAAAGTCAGTGTTTACATGAACCGCAAAGGTTTGGCAGGTTTAACAATTTGATGCTATTTGATTAGAGCTGATATAAGCACTCAAATATTTAATATCTACATATGGTTACACAACAGAGATGCAAGTTTCTAAATATTGCATTTTAAATTGGAATGCAGCAAACAACAGCAAATGTTACTTAAGTTGCAAGACAGATACACAAGACACACTGAAATCAGACGTTGAAGCTACCGGGTTGCTACGGTTCATCCTCTGGTCTGCGGGAAGTCTTCAATCTTCTCCCCCACAAAGGTTTACTAAAGCCTTTTGACAATCGCCACCAGTGTCTCCCTGTGAAGACATTTAAAGATGATTAAAAACTCGGGATTATAATAATAATAATAATAATAATCCTTGCATTTGATATAGCGCTTTTCACGTCGGGAGGACGTCCCAAAGCGCTTCACAGAACATACTGCAAAGTGAATTGACTGTATATTTGTGGGCGAACGCGGCAGCCAATTGCGCACAGCAATGTCCCACAAACAGTCGTAGATTGAAAATGACCAATTTATTATTGTTTTGGGTTTTTGGAGGGATTATTATTAGGCGTGTGGAGTAAGGAAACTTGCCCAAGGTTTCGCCCTCTGCCTGGAATTGAACTCAGGTCTCTCACTTGCAAAGCGAGTGCTCTAACCACTGAGCTACAGGACTCCCATTTAATATGTAGATATTAAATTGCCCATTTCTTCCATTCATCTCAAAGAACATTTTGTAACATCTGTTGGATTAGGTAGTCTAAACTTCTCCAGTGTCATCTACCCTCAGTTCAACATTTACAGACATCACAGGACAGAATAACTTTCAATGGAGTTAGTTTTCCACAGCGATGCATCAAGGCACCAGCCTCCTGAATGCAACACCTAAGATGATAGATATGAATCTGCTCATAAGAAACATTCACATCAATGTGTTGTATCCAGTTACAAACAATGCATTTCTGAGCTCCAATATTCAGCTATCCATTCACTGCATTAAGGAGCTACAAGAGGAAAATGAACGCTACATTGCACCGGTTGTACAGCAGCCATTTCAATTGGATTTGTCTTCACAGTGAGTACAATTACCAAGGCTCCCCACACAAGAACCTGGATAAAGCAGCTGGTGCAGAGTAAGCCTGGCACACACAGCACTGGACTTGGCCCTCACGAAGATCAAGGTGGTTGGCACGTCACAAGCTGTGCTGTAAAGGTCCTCCCCCACACTGTTTGAGAGTCAAGTTCATCCCAAAGGTGGGGTAGGGGGTGGGGGAGACTCCTGTGTTGGGGATGTTAATTTCTATAATTTTAATTACTTTTGAAAAGAAAAAAAACAAAAAACTTTCACCTAACCTCTAGTCAGGTTAATTTAAATAACTGGACCAATGCTTCAGATTCATCAGGACTCTGTGCACTGAACTTTGCCAAAGAGTTTACTTTGAATGTATTCACTGGAACAGTTGGAAGTAACTGCTGTTCTCTCCATTGATGCCATTTACCTGACCTAAGGTATCATTTTCACCTTAGCCTTTGTCCAAGTGTACACAAGAAGTAAATTGTCACAGATTTTAGCATCAAATAGATCAAGTCAGTTACTTACTATGATTGTCGATTGGAGGGTCTCTTCATACGTCTCCAGGAAGTGATCCTTAATATTCATCATGTCTTTCTCACTCCTGGATACCACAATCCTTATCAAAGTCTTCTCATCAGTTCCAGCTCCCTGGTAAAGAACAAACAAGTCTTAATTAGGTACCCTCTGATAGAGGAATAATAGATAACACCTTATCACATCGTTGAAAAATATCAAAGTGGTTCACATAATATTTTGTAAAGAATGGACTGTATATTTTATGGGTGAAAAAAAAATACAAAAATATAATGTGCTCTGTAGAATTTCAATTAGTTAAAGTCATTCACTTCATGGCTTACAGCTAGGTAAACAGAGTGTGGAGCAAGGAAACTTGGTTAAGGCTTCACCCTGCCCAGGAATCAAACCTGGATCCGCTCACTTTCGAGATGAGTACACTAACCAATATGTTACAGGAGTTCTATTTGAGTCCCATTCAGCTGATCTTACTCCACAACCTTGCAGTTTACCAATAAAATCAGGCAGCTGATTTGAAAGCATCTAGACACTTACACATAAGGATATAATAGCTTAGATTGACTGCCTGGCCATTAGTATGATCTTATTGCATTGTATTTTCATCCTACAGTGTGTGAAACATCTGTGCAACCTTTAAATAGATTTGTATATGCTTTTCCGATGCAGTGCCAAAGACATACCTTCATGGAATTGTACAGCTTCTCAGCAAAATACGCTGGAGTATTCTTCACACATTTGACTAGAGAAATTCAGAAACCAAACTATGAATATCACAATTACATAAAATTGATAATTTAAACAAGGATATTTGTCAATGAAAACAATAGTTTGAATTAAGTTCAAACTGATAAGCCTCTAGGTTTCATATAGCGCATAATAATCAAAATGAGCAACAAAAAATGCTCTGATACAGTGCACCATGACTCCTACAGTCAACTGGTGTTTTCCTTAGAATTCGACCATTGAACAGCACAACGATCTTACCAATTGCCACGAGGGAGGTTTGCAGTGAGCCAGAGCATTCACTCTGGATGCTATCTTCCAGGTCCTTGTCAGTCAGCCTCTTATATTCATCAAATACTGTGCACAGAAAGAAAAAAGTTAACTGTCTAAAATAACAAAAGCTGGACAAAACTAGACAATTAGATGAGATTTTACACCAATATATTGTTTTATTTTAAGACTCAAATTTAAGTGGCAAGTCAATTACAGGAATATATCCAAATTATCTGGTGTTTTGAATGCAATTGGGATCTAATAATACTTGCATTTGATAAAGTGCTTTAACGAATATATTGTGAAGTGGATTGCCCGTGTATTTAGTGGGTGAAAGGCAGCAGCCAACTGCACACAGCAATGTCCCACAAACAATCGTGGATTGAGTGACCAATTTGGGCGGGGGGGGGCAGTGGGAAAGATGCATTCAGCCACCAGAAGTTATGACCGACTTTCCAGACCAGTATTTATTCTCAGCAGACCTAACCCCAGGCAAAACACCACATGGCCTAAAATAGGAAATGAGCAACATTTGGTTGCATTAATTCTGCTACAAACGACAATGTCCGGCTGATGGTTAGATTTTTTATGATGGCATTATCCTTACAGCTGAGTGTGTCTGTTCCCTTAATTGCAAGGTGTATGCGTAGAGAAGTTCAGTGCTTTATTATCCAACGAGTCTTGAAAATGTGAGTCTTATACAATAGACACTCGAGTGCAGCAATCTGCTAGGTGGGCGAGGGTCTCCAGAATAATGCCTTTATCCCCCTCTCCCAATATACTAATTAGTATATAACTGAGGGTTAGTTGGTTAGACAGTTGCCATCAAAATCAGTGTTTCACCATATACATGCAAATACAGTAAAAATGTGGGATCATCTGTTCATTAACTGACTACCTTTTTGCAAATGAGGAATGCTCCTGGAACAAAGGATGATAATAAACTTCTCTTCATCTGTACCCCAGGCATTCTCACCAGCTCAAAGAGATCCTGATATCGGAAAGTAGAAAAAAAATCAGCATTTTAATAGCAAGTGACAAAATGGGAGTCCAAAATGTGGCGATTTCAGTATTGGCAATGCTTATTTCTCACAGTAACAATAATAGGATTTGATGTAGCAGCTTATCACATCTCAAAGACATTTGAAAGCACTTCACAGAATACATTGTACATTTGAATTGACTGAGGTATGTGGAGTAAGGAAACCTCCCTAAGGTTTCGCCCCACCACTGGGAATTGAACCTGGGTCCTCTTGCCTCCGAGGCGAGCGCACTAATCACTCCATGTCAACCCTGTGTGCCTTGGGTTAGATTAAATTTAGAAGGAACTGTTGGTAGGCGTTCAGTTTTATTTGTGTGGATGGACCATGGTGTTCCCACATCATACAACTTCTAGAAGGAGGAAGCAGTTTTCTTTGTGATCCAGGTCGGCTCTTCCATTCATAACAAGTTTACTACACTGTGTGCCCAGTATGACTACAGTTTTACAAGTGTCTTTATTCAGTAAATCCTGAAGAAATTACCAGTGCAACTCAAGGATCAATAAAGAAAACAAACCAGTCAGTTAATTGATCAAAACTGTATCACAACTCAAATATTCACAGCATTGCAAACTAGCCAAAAATAATCAAAGAGATTAGCAAGCATCTAAAGCCGAATGCCTAGAATATAAAGATGGTAGTTATTAAAAATCATAAATCAGAGCGTGGGACTCAAGCCAGTCACTCAGCTCGGTTTTATATCAAATCATTGTCTAAGATAATGCTCCAATCCAGTGCTGGGGCACGATGCATTGTCAGAGGTGCTCTCCTTCAGATGAGACGTTAAACTAAAGTGACGTCTGCCTATTCAGGTGGATGTTAAAGATGCCACAGTGCTATTCAAAGAGAAGGGAGTTTCTCCTGGTGTCCTGGCCAATATTCCCCAAGTAAAATTGGTCACTCATTTCTTGGTGGTTTGAGAAACATTGCAGTGCGCAAACTGTATTTTGTGGGTGAAACGTGGCAGCCAGTCAAACCACTTTGCAGTATATCCTATGAAGCACTTTAAGACAGACAACTTGATAAGGCACAATATCAAATGCAAGGATTATTATATTACAAACACGACTTACAGGAGAACCTTTAACATAGTGTGTGTTGGGCAGAGTAAAGGCATCAAAGCATGTTGTACAGGATCCCCATGTCCTTTTAAAGCTGTGATCTCAGCAGAGATTCACTCCAAATCCAATATTCACAGAGCTCACCTTTGCATCTTGCGTTGCTTGATTGGAATCAGCACCTCCCTCATCCCGGTTACCCTAATTAAAAAAAAATCAATCTTCAATAAAAATAGCCATGGCTATTAATTGCTCACTTTGTTACTCATCTTTTGGGTTGGAATGAGGGCAGACAACATTGAACTTAAGCATTTCCTCGGTTAAGAGGTTACTGGAACCAACTTCCAAATGGTTTATTAAAATGTTATAAATATTAAATACCTGAAGTAGAGAAACTAGGACTCTTTCAAAGTAGCCTGATGTGTCGCCCAGAATATCATCCTCTAACTTCGAATCAAAGTCTACATTAAAAGGAAAAAAGGAAAAAAGGAATTGAAATTCAACTTGCAACAAAAACAGCTGGCCCCAATATTAAACAACTTATTGGTAGACATGAATCAGAGCACTGCCTCAGTGTTGCATAGTAATAATAATAATCCTTGCATTTGATATAGCACCTTATCATGTCTTCAAGACGTCTCAAAGCGCTTCACAGAATATACTGTAAACTGAATTGACTATCTTATTGTGGGCGAAACGCAGCAGCCAATTGCGCACAGCAGTCTCCCACACAAACAGTCATAGATTGAAGTGAATTTATTATATTACAATAAAGCAGTCGGAAGCAGTTCTCTACATCTCCCATGGTCCAGTCAGCGACATGACAAGCTCAGACAGAATGTAGAATCTTAATCCAAAGCCATCTCCATGCCCACAAAGAATACAGATTCAGTTCTCCCTTCCCCAAAGACCCTGCCCAAAGTTGCTGCCCACTAGCTAGATCCAGACTGCAAAATTGCTACCATCATCCATACCGGTGAACACTACAGTGGCCTCAATATTGAGGCACAAAAATAAATCTGAAGCTGATGTTCTTGATTTGGACAGTTCCTAACACATTGTTATACAGGGTTGCAAGAACCCTGAAACAAACATCCAAGTAATTAGAGAAAAGTGGCCAGAAAAGGATTGAGAGATCTTCAAAAATGAATTGAATACAATTCGAAGAGTAATCAGCCTGCGGCAAGATTGGAAATATTCCAAACACGCAAAATACACTGAATTAGTAGAAAGCTCATCATAGGATTCCACGTTAGGGGAAAGGGTTTATAGATTAGATGCTGGATGGAAAATTGGCTTGAAATCAATAGGCTGGAAAGCAATGAAGGTCACTCCAGGATCAGAGATGGGAATACTTTATTCAAGCAATTAGCCTGGAGGAGTTCAGCAAACCAATCTCAGATCTAGGACTTTCCTTGTTCAGTAATGCCTCAGTATTACATGACCCGAATATTTTTCTACTAAGATTTTATAAAGACACGCTGTGCCTTCACATTTCAATGTCATAAGAAGTTCAGCAATAGCATTTGCATGGCCAGCAATGACCACAAACCTTCTTTGTACAATTCCACAATCCTCTGAATCTCCGCATTGCTTCGTGATGCTAATATTTCAATTAGGACATCTTCTGATGTCCCAGAACCCTGTTGAGAGAGCACAGGAGAGTTTACAAGATAGTTATCGGAGCCAAACCAGTTAGAAGCGAAAGACATGTATACAGTTTGAGAATATTTAGATAGGTTCCCTATTTTTTGGTCTTTGTTCAACCTTTTCCATTTCTGGCTGATAACAAGCATTAATAATCTACCACATCTCTCCCCTTCTAAATCAAGTTTAAATAAACAATTGTATTGATTATACAGACAGAAACATCTAATGCTACTTGTTTAATATGCATATTCCTTCAAGCAAGATTTGTGGTCCCGTTACTAAAAGTTATGTTCTTGAACATTGTTAACCAATAGTTTCAGCTGTCAAGAAAGTGTTTGAAATGCATTGCCACAATTGATTGCGAGTTGTTTTTATTTTTATAAATAAAGTTCAGCCGGGCGTCAGACACACGCAGACCATGCTTACGAGTACCCAAACGGAGAACTCCATGCATCATGTGACAGCGATTACCTGTTGAATGCTTTGAAGACTTGAATATTAAGTATTTGAAGACAGGATATTTGTGTGCAAAGCAGGTTTGTGCATTCATTGAACATGTATATCACCTAGTGGATTAATATGGTATTTCAGTACAAGACCAGAGTAACAGTACAGATTTACTGCTGTTATTGAATTCGCTCTACAGAAAAGTGAAATCTTTTCACTTGAGGAGGGGGAATTAAAGGAGTTTGTGTTGCCTAGATTTAAAGCGTTACTATGATTGTATCCCGGTGTGTATGTGCATACATTTCTCCAGGAGATTAAAATAGTGCCTGATCACCTCGTCGAGATGTCTCAAAGCACTTCACAGAATATATCTAAAGTGGGTGGACTGTATTTTATGGGTGAAATGCAGCAATTAATTACGAAAAGCAGTGTCTCACAAATAAACATGGATTGAGTGATCAATTTTTTGTGTGTGTGGGTGATTACCACCTCTGGAAAGCGATTCGCCAATCGACTAACAACCAGCTTCCTACTGGGTAAACAGAGGTGCGTGGAATAAGGAAACTTGACTAAGATTTCACCTTGCCCGGGAATCAAACCTGGGTCCTCTCACCTGAGAGGCAAGAGCACTATGCTATGGACCTCCAAATATAGAATATATTGTAAAGTGGAGCCCCATAGCATACACTTGGTGTTGGAAAAAGATGGTTAGCAATGTCTTTATTTTTACAGTGAACAGCCTGGGACAGAAACGAGAAATAAAAAGTGTACATTACTGTGAAAGTTATTGAAAACTGTGCACTGAGTAGCAGTAAAGAGAAGTTTCTTGGAGATTGGTAGAAGTTAGGGAGGGTGCAAGGAAGCCTCATCAAATGGAAATAGTAAAGCATCTACAAGTTAACAGCAGCATTGAGGAGAAAACTGTAAGCAGCAGATATTTGAAGGGAAACAACTGGAGAGAAACGGGATTGATTACAGTGCAGTAAAATCCTTTTACCTTCAGAGCATCGTGCAACTCCTTTGCGTCGTATCTGTCTGCAGGCAGCATAAGGGCAACTATCAACGATTCAAAGTAGCCTGACAAGTCCGATTTCAGATCGTCAGTCAGGTCCTGCAGCAGCAAATTGAATAGGTTTAAGCATAGGTCCAGTCTAGTTCAAGCACAGATCCAGTCTAGTTCAAACACAGGTCCAGTCTAGTTCAAGCACTAGCTGTAACACCAACAATGACCCACAGAATATTACCTTCACCTGAGCTTTTGTAGAAACAATTTCCAACAACAGATTACATTAGTACAGCGCCTTTCATGTTGAGAGGACATCCCAAGGCGCTGCAAAGTCAGGGATTTGGACTCGAGTAGGGGGTTGGAATCAGGAGGGGTTGAGGGCAGGGATAGGAGCCTTGAAGGAGGCAAGGGAAAGGGCGAGTCTGATTAAAGATGACTTGCTTATCCAACTTACCTAGTCAACTCAAGTTTCAATTGACCAGCCCTAAAGGTTTGGTAAAGTCAGCAACAGATCCATTGTTCTGGATAATAACAATCCTTTTATTTGGTTATAGCACCTTAACACGTTGGAAGGACATCTCAAAGCACTTCAGAGCATTTACCATGAAATGGAGTGACTGTGTATTTGTCGGCTAATGCGGCAGTTCAACTGCACACAGCAGTGTCCCACAAACAGCCATGAAACAAAAGACCAGCTATTTTAAGCCCAGGCATTACAAGGGGGGAAATCAATAGAATAAGGGTTTAACCACAGCCGGTGGGGTTGGAAAGGGAGTTTGTATGCCTCTCACCAATATCCAAGTTTTGGCATCAATTAAGGGCAAAGTGGAGTGCAGCTCATATGCATACATATGTAGGACAGACAACACGGCCCAGAAAATAGCAATTACAATAGCCCTTACCTTTCCAAGCATGGTTTTATAGGCGAGGTTAATCTCCTGACGCTGTGCATTGCTTCGCTTTGTTAGTATTTCTAATATGCTTGCTTCATCGGTGCCTGCAAATCACAATTATCCCATTATATTCTGAACTGAAATCACTATTATCTGAAAGCATCTGGGCTGACACGAAGCATTGGTGCTGCACGAGACAGGATACAATTAGCCATGAAGGAAGTTGAAGCCTAGGGGTGCAAGCACAGGTCCAGTCTAGTTCAAGCACTAGCTGTAACACCAACAATGACCTGCAGAATATTACCTTCACCTGAGCTTTTGTAGAAACAATTTAAAACCATGTGAGGAAGCAAACAAGACATTGGACTATGTTGCCTAGTCACTGATAACATTTGATATCACACTTTGTCAAATGGTTAACATCTCAATAGCAGTCAATTAAGATGCACTAGTCGATGTTCGTTCCCAGGCCTGAACGGATGAGCCACTTCTGCAACTCTGCACAGAGGGAAACTAAGGAGGTTCACAAGATATTTTTAGACACACCAACGACAAGAGGATACAAGTTCAGGATCGCAAAGCGCAATTTTAGAACAGATACCAGGAAGCTTTTTTTAAAAATTTATAAACAGAGTACAGTTCAGACATCCCATCATAATCTAGAACAATTCAGAAGTTCTTCATATTACAAATGACATGCTAAGCTTGGCAGCATATTCGAAGAGACTGCAAAACTAGGCCTTATTCTTTAAGAGATTGAATAGTTATGTCTTTTGGTCAGCCGGGTGTCTTGACACATGCAGAAGCCCATCCTCGTGTTTAGGAGCTTCAAAACCATACAGAACTCCATGAATGCAATCTACACATGGTAAGTCCTGAGGTCTTAAATAATAATAATAATTATTATTATAATAAAGCTTACCCGCTCCTTGCATGGCCTGATGAAGATTCTCAGCATCTTCTTTGCTATTAAAGTCTTGAAAGTCTACGACTGTTCCTCTGCATTGTCCTGCCTAAGTAGAGAAAATAAATTTGAACCAAGATGTACACATCAAGAAAGAGCACTTCCAACAACATTATATTTGTATAGTGCCTTTCACGTTGGGAGGACGTTCCAAGGCGCTGGACAGTGTACAGCATTTCAGACCTGAGCTGGGGTCAGGTGGGGATAAGGGAGGTGGCCGATGGCATGATCGAAGAGGAGGGTTTTGAGGCGGGACTTGAAGGAGGCTAAGGAGGAGGCGAGGCGGAGTGATTGGGGGATGGAGTTCCAGAGGTTGGGGGCAGAGTGGCTGAAGGCTCTCCCACCAATGATGGGACGGTTGGGTTGGGGGACATTTAGCAGACCGGAGCCGGCTGAGCAGAGAGAGCGGGCGGGTTGGTAGGGGGTTAGGAGGTCGCAGAGGTAGGGTGGGGCGAGGCCATGGAGAGCTTTGTAGGGGAGGGCCAGGATCTTAAACTGGATGTGGAGCCAATGGAGTCGGGTGAGAGTTGGGGAGATGGAGTCATGGAGTTTGGTGTGGGAGAGCACATGGGCTGCAGAGTTCTGGATTATCTGCAACCTGTAGAGGGAGGAGTTGGGAAAGCTGACAAGCACGGCGTTTGCATAGTTGAGCCTGGAGGTGATGAAGGCATGAACAAGAGTTTCAGCGGCCTGATTAACTTCCACTGATTAACATAGGATCAGTTAGCAGAGAGAAGAAGTTTAATATAGCACCCATTAACCTTGAGAATGTCTACAATTTGAAAGTGTAGCCACTATATGCAGGCAAATGTTTTTGGAATTTACCTATAGAAATTCAGCAACTTTATTCCCCAGCTGTTCAAGAAATGGACTCATTTTGTGTATGGCTCAGACACTGGCAGCTCTTCAATCCCTCAACCAAGAGTTCAAATGGGTAAAGCTCAGGGCTTTCAAGTAACTACACCCACACACCGTTTCTTTTGCTGATGTGAGTAAGCACATGCTTACCACAGAGCAGCAGCACTAAAGTCTTAGTAATGCATTTAATACAGACTCATGAGCATGGGACTATCAGGATGTTACTGGAAACTGGACTTGCAGACACTCTTATCAACTCCACTCATTTCAATATTGCTCCAAATATTATATATGGGGTGTTCCACAGTCCTGGAATGAATACAAAACTCTTCCTCCTCACCTCCCACCCCTGTCAATCACATCATTAATATTTAAAACAAAATATTTATAATCGCTCCACTAAATTTAGTCAAGGCTTCATATTGTAATTTATTTTCTTTAAGTGCCTTAACCAATACACTACAGGTCTCCATAGCAGTAAAACAAGCAGAATTAAATTGCTACACCTGAAAGGACTCCAGTCTCCTAACCTCGACTTCCCAATATTCCAGCTTTTCTGCTACTCTTTGTGTTCTTGGTGATGCCCTCTGCTTTGTCTGGTCAGCCAAGTGGTAAATGTGGAAACCCATCACCATGCTCAAGTATCCAAACCAGACAGTGCCACATAGTAAGACACCGATGGATGGGAATGGGTATCTCCTGGAGTGATATAGAACACTTTCTCAGTTCTGGAGTATTGGGACAGTCAGTTTGGTGCAAGTCAGGGTTTAAGGATCCCAAAAGTACAACAGCAAGCTGAAATCTCAGGTTGTCATTAAGAGCACAGTCTGGCAAGATTTGAGCTGCTTGTCTAGGTAGGACCACCCTATTAGTTAAACTGAGTGGAAATAATCCTTTTTCCTTGTGACTGGTCTAACCCTTCCAAGTCTCACATTATTTGAAAAGAGAAAGGAGTTTATTTTCCTGGTGTCCTGGCCAACAATCCGGGTAAACTCACTCATAGTTTGTCAAACATCACTATGTACAAATTGGGCTGCTGCATATTTGCCTACAATAGCTAAAATGAAAAGCACTAAGATGTTGATAAAACTATAAAACAAATGCAATGATTAAGAGTAACCACAATCCTCCCCCCCCCACCCCTCCATCTCAAACAAATGCTAAATATGGGATCTTAGTCATTAGCTTGGCTCGGAGTCAGAAGGTTGTGGGTTCAAGTCTCAGTTGAGCTGACACTTCAATTGGGAGTGTTGGTGGATCACTGCAGAGGTATACTGCCAAAGAGATGTTAACCCGAGGTTCTGACTGCCTGTTCAGACAGACGTTAGATCCCATAAAAAGACAAGGAAGTTTCTATCTCCATCCCCAAATAATAATTAGTCCATCACTTCATGCCCATTTCATACCCAAATAGTTTGAGAACTTTAAGTCAGACGAGTCCTGTTACAGTCATCTAAAAACACATGATGCCACATGACTGTTCACTCACAAAAGAGTCATATGATGCGGTGCCAAGGATACAAGTCCTGCACTCACTACACTTTCTCAATTTGATGCTGCAACACTAGCTCTTTGTCTCAAGTTTATGCACTGGGAGGTGGGGGTGGGGAGGAAACAGATCAGAAGAAAAAAAATGAAAGAAGATATGAAAAAAGCATTTGCTGTACAGCCAGAGCTTCAGAGCAAAGGTTCATTTCCCAATTTTAAGTAGTGGACAACACTTTGGATGAAGAAGGCTCTTTGGCCAATCTGAAGCCAGTGCTCTTACAGTTATACTGGTGTACTGACTATCGGTTACTACCATACGTGCAGTATTGACAGGCCTCCCACACAATGCTCGTTCTGACCCTGGACACATTGTAGAGCAATATGAAGCTGCAAAGCTTTTTTTAAAAAAAACAATGAAGATACTTCAAGCAGCTAAGCAGGAATGGAACTGGTGTAATAATAATCCTTGAATTTGATATAGCGTCTTATCATATCGTTGAGACGGCTCAAAGCACCTCACAGAATATAGTGTAAAATGAATTGACTGGAATTTTTTCGTGGCGAAAAGCAGCAGCACACAGCAGTGTCACTCAAACAACTGTGGACCACATTTTTTGGGGAAGATTATTACCCCCGGAAAGCAATCTGCCAAGTAGCTAAAAACCTGGTTCCCGCTTACCGCTCGGTAAACTGAGGTGTGCGGAGTAAGGAAATTTGCCTAAGGTTTCGCCCCACCCGGGAATCAATAAACAGGTACTCTCGCTTGCAAGGCGAGTGCTCTAACCGCAATGCTACAGGGCTCCATATGTGAAGCATAGGAATGGTCTAGCGAGAAACCAGATCGTTCTACATTAGCGAAGCTGGCTCCGCAAGAACATGGAATCTAAATCAATAACAGTATAAAGCTTTGTGTATATTCTACAAACAGGAAGGGAGTTAAGGTAACAACCTTTTCAGTCAGCGCGCTTTATGTAAATAACACATTTGTGACTGGTACCTCCAGTTTACCAGCTAATCCGAACATATGGGAGGGAGCAAAGTATCATTAGGTGTTAAATGCCCTGCAGATGCAAATACGATCCTTCTGACCCCGAATCAGAAGGGTCCATTTCACATGCTGGTTAACAAGCCTCTTTTCATAGTTTACAGTTTGGGTTAACTGTGTGCAAAGAGAGAACTGCTTTCAGTTAGTAAATAGAAAGTCAAAGGCTCATTAACCTTGGTTAACAAAAGGTACCTTATTCGTTTGCATATCGTAAACCCAATCCACAAGCTTTCATTCTAAAGCTTAACATACTTCTCTTTATTTTTGAAATAAAAGTTTATTCCACATTCACCAATCGGTGAATATACCAAGAGAATATACAATGTTCACCTTCCCTCTCCTGTGCCCCTTTAGTGCCAAGCATAATCGAATGACAATCATTTCACGTTGAACCACCTGCAAGAAAATTGCTGCCTTCTCTAACAGAACGGATCACTAGCCAGTTCGTTTAGTGATGCATTGCGCATGCAACATAGGATACAAGGCTCTGGAGTCAGCCATCAATTTGGTTAAAAGCATCAAATGCCCTTGCAACTGAAGGTCATGAAATACACGACTGGTGCTTCCTGTATCATGGAGTAATCTCCAATGGACGTATCCTTAATCTTACTAACATCCCTCTTCATTGCATTGCCAGAGGCACTTTTCTCAGATTGTATGTTAAAGCAGAGAGGTCAGGTCCCATGTGAAGTCCTGTAGTGCATTTAGTGCTTTCACCGCGCAAGCGAGAGGATCTGGGTTTGATTTCCAGGAGGGCCGAAACTTAGGTAGGTTCCTTATTCCACATGCCTCTGTTTACCTAGCAATAAGCACGAACTCAGTTGTAGGTCAATTGGTGAATCGCTTTCTATGGTAATGATCACCTCAAACAAATATGGGTCACGCAGTTCACGACTGTTTGTGGGACACTGCTGTTCATAACTGGCTGCCACGTTTCAGTCAATCCACTTTATAATAATAATAGCATTTGATATAGCGCCTGACCAAGTCGTCGAGCGCTTTACAATACATTTTTTTACAATTATATTCTGTGAAGCACTTTGAAACGTCTCAATGTCGTGATAAAGCACTGTATCAAATTAAATTATTATATTAGCTAGTGTACAGCATTAAATATCCTCTGACATTGGAAGAGGGAGTTTTCCTGGTGACTGGGCTAACAATCCTCTGGATTTTTAGAACTAAATCAGGGAGTGAATTACCCCCTGGTGATGTATAAACATCTGCCACACTTGCCTAGTAAAAAAAAGTTGATAGTAATTACTGTCAAATACTTGGGAGACATTGATTAAAATATGTTATATTCTCTTTTCCTATAATATAATCAAATGCATCTAATATAACCTATCTGTAGCCCAAGGTCAGCTCCATGGTTTGCCGAAAGCAATAATTCGATCCCAAAATACAGACAGGATAACTGTACACCATGGGGAAAAACCACAAACTAGCAGTTTACGTGGAGATCATCATCCACATCCCCCTCCCAACCCACATTAGATGCATTAAAAGATGAGTCAGATAGGACGACACAAAGTCACCATATTACAGTCCTTGTAAAGCCAGCAACACTTTCCCCGGTTTATACATAAATTCTTTTTCTGCTCGTCAACAGGGTTGCTAAGCACAGCAGGAAATACCATGAGCCAGGCAGAGTGCCTGGAAGCAAGGAATGTTACTGACTTTCCACAAGTCCAAGCCAAAAACATCCTACTTTTCCCCATTGAAATATGGGGCAGTTTCATTCAGATTTAAAGTTCACCAGTAAATCTTCCCCCCCCCCCACTCCTCCCCCACAGTTTTGTCACATTTGGGGTTCATCTTCAGTTTCAGTATTAACCCTCTCAGCTCCAGATAATATAGTTCTCCCCGATGATGATAAAGTGTAAAGGCACCACTCTATATACTCCAAGGTCGCACAGATAAAGTTGCAGATTTAAAACCTGTGCTGGGTTGAGGTGAAAGATCCTATTTTTGATCGTTCAGTGACTTGGGGAGGGGGGGGGGAAACAAAAGACATAGTAAAGAGAGGAAAACAATCGCCTCCTGGCAGTGTTGTGTACTTTGGTTAAGTTCTGGAGGACACATAACATCTATGGAACTGTACCTCATGGAACGTAAAGGGAAAAAAGTCAATATCTTTAGAGCTATCCTGCATGATCAAATCTCAACACCAAATGGCTCGATATCACACTCATGCATCTTTCAACGTGCAAACAATAGCACAAGGAAGCCTCGTGGTTATGGTTTCAGCGTTAACTGTAGCTAATGACATCAATACCTGTTCAAGCACTTGGGTGAAGGCAGTGCTGGTCAGTGCATTGTTTGTGGCATGTCTATTCTGTGGGGTACCAAAGCAAGCACGAAAGTGGAAATTCTGGCCTAGTCGGAAGCTAAATGGAGCTATAGCATAACAGGAGCTACAGGTGTGCACTTGTTACAAGCTGACAATTCACAAGATAAAGCTGAGTCTAGTTTAGCATTTGCAGTAGTACTGGAGTATTTCACGAGAAAACATTGCATAAAAATCTTAGCTCAGTGCCTTAATCAGAGGGCGTAGTCCTTATGAAAAGCCATTTGTAGCAATACCAACTGGTCAGTCTGACATTCCACCCAGTTCAGAAACATCATACATTTAGATCAACAACTTGCTTTAAAGAAAGTGAATTTTGTTTTCATTTGTACAATTCTGCTTTTGAAAAAAAAACTTGAATTTTGATTGCTCATTTAAAAAAAATTAACAAAGTCTTCCCTTCCTCAAACATCTGTCTTACAATCATAGCCCACCCCCTCTTCGCATCAGACTGCTAGCCACATTCTGTGAAGCACTTTGAGACATCTTCCCAACTTGAAAGGCGTTGTATAAAAGTGTACGATTGTTGGCATAACAGTACTGTTTGTGTGTGCACTTATGTTTCAACAATAAACATATTTCCATCACTTTCTCCCATCTCTTTGCACCCTACCTCCCCACTCGCCCCTCCACACAACACGTAAACACACAGTCACACAAAAGATATTTTTTTCCATTAAGACAGTGCCTCCTGAGGAAACAGTTATAATTTGCAGACAATTTTTTCCACTTGAAAACTAGGCGTGCCACTCCTTGCCAGATCCCCTGGTAATGATTTGTACAGTTAACAAAGCGCAGAAACACACATTATAACTGCTCTCTCTGATGGTAACAGTCACTGCAAATTTTGTTGCTTCAGACTGTTGTTATACAGGACACTGGCTGATATTCAGCAATCACTTACCCCACCCTTGAACGACATTCTTCACTGGATGCCCTATTTAACAAAAAAACACATACACTGCATTAGCCTCAAAGGGTATTTTAAAAGTCAACGGACAGCACTTTCTTGCAGAACGAAAGTGTAAAAGAAACGTTTCGGAAAGCAATAAAGAGCAGAAAACATTCAATCACTTGTGCAAACCTGCTGCTGCTTGTGGTTTGAAAGGGAATGGAGTCACTATTAACTCAGTTCGTAGTGTACTCTCCAGGACAAGTCTCTACATTTGGGAGACCTCTAGTGGAGCCTACACATACATTGGCAGAGAGACTGGGCTCTTATTTAAATGCCTTAGTCATACACTGCAAGTCAGCCAATGAAAATTCACTACTCTTGAAATCTCTGTGGGTGTGAATCCAAACCAGCTCTGAAACAGCCTCTGACTTGGACGTGGATCAAGTTACTCATTTAAAATAGTTCCCATAGCAATGGTGCAGTTGGCACAGGATCCACACCGATAACCATCATTATTTCTGCTTAAAATGTGCATGTTGTACTGTGTGTTCGGGCAGTGCAGGAAAGGAGATAGAAACTTGGAGTGCAGAAGAAAGCCGTTTGACTGCGCTGATTCACAGAGCAATGAGGTCATTTCAATTCCAACGCCCAGCCTTATTAATAATAATAATCCTTGCATTTTATATTGCACCTTATCACATGGTTAAGATGCCTCAAACTGCTTCACAGAAATTGATTGTAAAGTGGATTGACTGTGTATTTTGTGGGCGAAACACAACAGCCAAATGTTCACAGTCATGGATTGAGTGACCAAATTTATTTTTTAAGGGGTTATTACTCCTGGAAAGTGATCTGCCAATCAACTAACAACCGGGTTCCTAGGTAAACAAAGTTGTGTGGAGTAAGTACACTTACCGAAGGTTTTGCCTTGCCCAGGAATCAAACCCAGGTTTTCTCACTTGGAGACGAGCACCCTAACCACTACGCTATAGGACATCTTATCCCCATACCCTTTTAAGATCCTCTCGTTCATCTGCCTGTCCACTTTCCTCAACTACCAACTAATTAGCTGATGTTCTTGTTGCTGATTGCAATTTAGTATCTTGGCTGTAATGTGCAAGTGTGCGGATAACAGGTAGCACAGAATGAGGCGCAGCTGTGATGCACCACGAGCAGACAATCACCATCTAAGATCACACATAATACAGCCTCTGAGATGAGGTCCCAGAAGAATGCTCGTACAGTATTCGGAAAACATTTAGAGAAAATTGAAGGGGGGGTAATTATGTTGTTGTTGAGGGTATTAAATTCTTTTTAATATTTTTTTAAATTTGTTCACCTTGTACTGATATAAATATTTCAAACCCTCCTGTAGTGGGCAGACCCACCTCTGAGGGTACTACAAAGTCCTGTACCACAAAGTTCCACCCCCACCCGCCACCTCCCACCCCTCTCCAACCTACAGTGCACTGACCAACAACTGAACGTGTGGAAGAATGTTAATAATTGTATTTAGAAATACTTCAATTGTATTCAGTACAAGCGTTTAACTGTATTTAGACATGCAGAGGATCAGTATATGTGAGCGCCATGATTTTCATGGTAGATAATGTTCCGTCACCAAGTTCAGTGCCACATCTTCCATAACATGAATGGAGTGAGGAGGCGAAATGCAAATCTCTGACAACGTGTTTCAGCTCCACCGAAGTCTCATATCACTGTTTTGTAACAAAGGGCTTTGTGGACACCCTGTACAGCATTGAAGGAGAGCTGCATTGCTTCAGATGCCATCCTTTGGGTGAAACTTCAGATCCTTTCTATCTGTCGTCTGTTCTCGTAAACTTTAAATACTATTTTGAAGAAGAGAAGGGAGGCATCCTGGAGTTTCACCAACGTTCTCCTGGTAGAGGTCAAGAGTGGCCAAATTTTTTTGGATCTTTTTTTTCTTTTGAAAGGGTTATTCCCCCCGGAACACGATCCGCCAATCAACTAACAACCGGGTTCCTACTTACTGCTACGTAAACAGAGGCGGTGGAATAAGGAAACCAGTCTTCCTCTTTCAGATACAAGTGAGAGGTCAGGGTTCGATCCCCAGGTGGGGTGAAACCTTAAGCAAGTTTCCTTAAGAATCCGGTTGTTAGTCAAATGATGGATCGCTTTCCAGGGATAATAATCCCTTAAAAAATAAATAATAATTTGGTCACTCAATCCACGACTGTTTATAGGACACTGCTGTGTGCGTCTTGCCCACAAACTGTACAGTCAATTCGCTTTACAGTATATTTTGTGAAGTGCTTTGAGATGTCTCAATGATGTGATAAAACACTATATTAAATGCAAGGATTATTATTATTATTATACAAGGCAGTGCATCTCGGCCCAGTCTGTGATCTATTGTTAATACAAGCCTGTTCAGAAGCTCCCACTCCTGGAGCCTCAACATTCCTCATGGTTTACCATCACGATGGTTGTAAAATGTAAGATCGTGCAGATTTGTGGAGTTCTTAAATTCAGTATCTTAATTAGAAAGCTAGTTTTCGACAATCTCCCTAAAAACTGCATCTCTACGTAACACAATTTGGCAACAGAAGAACATGAAACTACATTTCAAATAGGTAATGTCCATGGAACCTGCATTGTTAAATATGCTATGTGTTGTCATAGTATTCAGCTTGAACAATTGAAACTGCCACGTGTAACATTGAGAATGGAGGCCTCACAGATGAATCACTCAAACTACACCCAATAAATTGGCAGGCGTCCCACATGAAATCTGAGACTCAACTCATTGCGGAGTCAGTCAAAATTCAATAAAATATTTCCCCCAAAATCTTTGCTCATTACTATTGAACACTGGGAGTTTCTCCAAGTGTCCTGGCCAACAATCCCCCAGATAAAATTGCTCATGGCTGTTTGCAGGACATTGCTATGTGCAAATCGGCTGTCATGTTCTCCTGTAAATACAATCACTGCACTTTACAGTGCATACTGTGAAACTACTTTGAGATGTTTCCATAACTTGATACAAGGCTCGGTTAAATATAAGGATTATAATAACATTTGATCTGCCTGTCTGCCCAGATTTTCACTTTTGCTTAAAAGATATAAAAAAGATTTAGACTTATGCACACAGTTTGCTGGCTGAAAAAGAGAGCACAGTGCATTCAGCTCCCAAGTGCCTGACAATACCACATTGCAACCAGTAGTAAAGTAGCCTATTGCTGGCAATTTTCTCTCCTTTCTTAGAGAAAAAGACCTGCCCCTAAACTGTGCCACATCTCAATGATAGATCTGGGATCATTACCTCTTCCCCAGAAAGAATCAAACTCACCTCACCTCCTAACATTTGGTGCACTGACTGTACTATTCACACAATATTCCCTGTCACAGTGGCAGGGAGAAAACCAGCTCCTGTATCCCTTCTTTGAAGTGACCAAGTAGAACTGCTTCTAGAGGGGAGACATGTTGCGGGAAGGAAAGCAGGAAGAAAGAAGACCTATAATTCACCATCCAATAAACATGAAGAACCGAATTCGACTGCCAAAAAAATTGTTTGAAACAGAATCTATACTAACCTTCAAACAGGAATTATACACATATTTGAAAAAGAGAAGCATTAAGAGTTATAATAATAATCCTTACTTTTGATATAGTGCCTTGTCACATTGTTGAGACGTCTCAAAGCGTTTCACAGATTATACTGTAAAGTGAATTAACCGTAAACTTTGTGAGACCAGGGAAGTGGGAGTAAATGGTAGCTTTACAGGTATATTGACTGTGTATTTTGAAGGCGAAACTGGATGCGACAAGAATGGGAACCTTAATTCTCATTTATTCATCAGATATGTTTGCGGCAGAAAGAGAAAGGAAATATGAATGAAAAGTCGAGGACATATAGGAATTTGATGTTTTAATTTGGAGCACCCTATGAGAGAATTTTTTATTGGGTCTAATTTATGATATTCACAAATGGGATTAGGTACAATAAATTCCATTTCCGCATGACTTGCGAATCCTATTGCGATATTCGTGAAACAGCTAATAGCGATTTCCAAAACCCAAAATGCAAATTAATGCAAGTCGCAAACAGACATCGCAATTAATACATCAAGTCACATTTGTGAATAGCAGATTGAACTGTAATATCAGAAACATGTGAATGCTTTGGCTGGTGTCCAACAATAACAGCAAATGGTAATAACAACCTCAATTGAAAATAACATCAAATCCCATGCTGCATGACCTAATCCAGCTGCTCCAACACTGGGAAGAGACAGTCACTCTTCGTACCTGAGGATTACCCAACTAACGAGTCTTTCATTTCTTTAAAAATGAATGGTAGCTCAGCAGCAAAGGACCATGGAACAGTCAGTTGGTTGGTGCTTTGAACATGAAGGAAAAACACCAAACCATCAGAACTGTGTTTCAAATCAGAACACAATAAACAAAAGTGCAGAATTTTAGCATAAGTCGCTTCATAATAAAATGGCAACTCTGGTACACAGATTGAAGCATTTGGATATACATTAAACAGTATGAATTTCAGGAGGATTAAACATAAATATTAACTTAATATTAACTTAATTAGTCTAATGTTAACTCCAGTTAAAAGAGAGCCAAATGATCTGGACTCAGGCATAACGGGAGACTTGTTTACTTGTGGATTTACAGGAAGAATGGCACAAATGGAAAATTGCTCAACCTAGCTGAGGTACAATGTGGAGGGGGCTATCCCAGGCTTATATCACATAACTATCGGGAGTTTCAGAGTAGCAATCCAGCATTCACAGGAGGTACACAGTAAAGGGGAGTAGCTTTAAAAGGACAATTCCTCGAAAAAGCAACAAGAGATACAGCAAAATCAGTTCAGGAGTTTTATTTTGAGAAATACATTCTAAATCATTCGTAGCAGTTTGTTAGCACAGAAACCTCCATTTAAACCCGCATCTGATCCAACCTTAGAATACAGCATACCAAGTGCTCTCCAAAGAATGCAAGTATTGTTCAAGAAGAATGTTCAAATATAAAATCTCAATTGAAAAAATAGAATGGTTCCCAATTTACCCATTTTTTTAATGCTCAGCACACCGAACTTATTTCTGCCCATATCACTGAGCAGAATGTGTTTTAGATGTTATACTCTTCTATTTAAAAAAAGATTCTTCATTAGATTGAAATGATTCATGGGCTTGGTTACAAAGATACACAAATGCACTACTTATTTGTGGTG